TATATTTTGGAAATATATTAATTGGCTTTCTTGCTGAGAGTTGGATTAGAAGTTAGAAAAAGCATTTTACCTAGATGTTGAACTATTCCTCCACGTAAGTCCCTGAGGGACAAAATAACTAAAGTAGTAATATATTTTCAAGATGTTTGGTCAGTGGGTCAAATACTGCATGCTTCCCTCCACAGAGCCCTCATCTACTGACGATAAAAGTTTTACATTACCCATGACGATCCTCCTGTCACCAGGTATCACATAGCTCTAGACCCTGGTTTTATTCAACCCAGCCCAATGCCTTTTTCACAGCTTTGACTTTGTACAGTGGGAAAAGCATTAACGTTAACCTCTGATCTATTCAAGTGTTAACAATACCAAGACCCTGAAACTGAAGCTAAATGGAATTCAATCATCATTAATTTGATTCGTTGCTTCTGTCACATGTCAAAATGTCTTCAGTGAAAAAGGCCTGTGTTGCTTTTGCGGTCTCTTACACAACATTGAGCTGCATTTTGCAGGTGCTCTCCTTATTAGAATTAGTTTTCTACCTCTGTATTAGCTGCCTTTCTTTAGCCTGTCTGATCCAGCTATTGGTTTACCATTTGTCCATTTTATCATCAAACATTTCCTTCTGAATCAATATGTTGGTCATTGTTTCTTTCTTGCTTCAATAACCATCACTGACCACTCTTTTTCTCACTTAATGGCAGGATCTCCCACAAGCCCTGATCACAAGACAAAACGCCAGAGTGACCCCACACCTTTTGGCTTCAAAGGTAGTTATGTTGTATTGCAACAATATCTGCAATCTTCAATATCTATAAACAATATCTGCATACCCTCCATGTCTGGTTAGTTGTTCACTCACGATGCTTGAGCGCAGCCTTGGTCTCTAACAGTGATGAGTTTCATTGGCTGTAGCCGCTGCAGGGTGGAGTGACTAGCTGTGTTTCTATTGCCTCCTGTTCCTCAGATGCAGGTCCTCCCCCTCTCCACCTGAGCAGGGCCAGGTGGTTCAGCACCTCTAGTCTCTTACAGACAAAGTGGAGAGGTACACTGGCACCAGCCGGCTCACGCTGGCCGTGGGTCGGACCCACTGTTTCACTACTATAAACCCTTCTGTCTTTCTCAGTTTTGCTTTGCCGTCCTGCATCTCCACGTTCCCTTCAGGCTTAGTGAAAATCATAGAAATACACACTGATACGGAGGAATTTTTGCCTGCCACTTTTCCTTTGTTAGTGTAAAACATAGAGGTGCATGCCTGTCTCCCCAGTCTTAGATTTTTTTTGGTAATAGTTGTGAAACTAACTGTGTCATGCTGGGATTCTTGGGATTAGGTGTTTTTCCTTCTCTGTTCAAAAGAGCTTTTTATGGTTCTTCCTATCACTCGTTTACACTTGTAGATCTCGTCACTGAAGGTCACGCACGTGTTTGACAGCAGCTGAAGCTAATTGTCGCTGTGAACTAAATACATGAGTTTCCCTTCCCCCCCAGGCTGGAACAAGGCCTCCCTGTCGCTGGATGCCTCAGAGGAGCATGACGGATATTCCAGTGCTGAGGATCCTCTGAACTCTGACCCAGAGGACGACAACGGCAAGAAGCTGGTGAGTCGCTGTGTGGGACAAAATAAGTTAACCGATCTGTGCTTGTATCAGTTACCTTGTGGGGACCAAAATCTGTTTACACATTCAAATTAGGGGGACTCACCTCCCATTGTCCATAAAGTTTGGCAATAGGGTCGGGGAGTGTAGTGGTTATGATTAAGTTTCAGGTAAATTTCAGGGAATAAATATGTCCTCCAAAGTTACAAAAACAAAACAAAAACAAGTGTTTGTAGTAACATTATCAGATAATAATGATCATTTGTCATCTTTGCCCATAGACTATAGTGTAATTCCTAAGGTTATTATTAAGGTTATTTTTCAGTGACTGTGTCCTGTCTTTTTTATGCAGATATTTTATTTATCACCATTTCTATTCATATATCTTTCCATCGTGATAGATTAAGGGTGTAAACCACCTGTAGTGTAGCTACCACATTGAAATTCTACATAACTAACTCTCCAGTTTTAATAAAGGCTGCAGTATAATTCACATTTACTTACAGCAAACAGTTGCCTATATACACTTCCACCAGACACAGAGTTGCTTTTCTTCTTTCTTCTTCTTTCACCAACTCCTGAGAGAAATAGCTATCTCTGTAGATGCTAAATGATCCACTATGTTCACCAGCTAGTTGCTAATTTTGCCTGTTCTGTTGTTAGTTGCTAGGCAGGTAGCATACAGTGGGTGGGTGGAAAGAGGTTGGCGAGAGCAGGGAGACTGAACCAAAACAATAATGTAAACTAAAGACAGTGTGCTGAGGGCATCTGCAGAGTAGGGTGATAATTGTCAATGGGCTTGTCAGTGACCCCTTTAATATTACATATAGTTGTTGTTGTAGTTGAACTAATGCAACTCTTGATTTGTTGTTGATTTGTGTAACTTCTGACAAAGTTGATGAATCCTATTCTATCTCCAAATCTTGACTTTGAACAGTGTGCTGGCAAATATACAGTGATGGCTGACTATGAGAAGGGCGGCGCTCAAGAGCTCTCAGTGAAGAGCGGAGACATGGTACAGCTGGTGAAGGAGGGGGACGACGGACAGTGGTGAGAAAACAGCCCCACCGCTGCAGAAATTGAAAAAGATAAATTAGCAGCACTTCTGTAATATAATACTTTTGTGTGCGTGTGTCTGTTCATACAGGTTTGTGCATAACCTGAGTACGTCTAAGGAGGGCTGGATCGCAGCTGCTAATCTTATAAAGCTCATTGGAAAGTCCAAATCTTGCCAGTCTCTCACCAGCTCAGGTATTCAAACTATCCCAAATAAAGTGTGTGACACATGAACAGAGCAAGAGAACTACATCTGACATTAATCCTCTATGTGTGTGTGTGTTTGTGTGTGTCTGATAGAAGGCAGTGGCTCTGGAAACCTCAGCACATCGTCCAGCTGCAGTGAGACCTACACAAGCTTCTCTGACATCAAACCTTGAACTCCTCAGCACTTCCTCCATCACCAAACTGCCCTTGCGAATTGCTAGCATCATGTGGCTATCTGTACTGTATTGCCAACGTCGGTACTCATAAGAATTTTGTCAGGTTTCCACAGAAAGCTGTATTTTTTCAGTTTTTAAAATCATGCACATGCACCAGTTATTAAGATAATATGTCTTACATGTGCACATGTTGTAGATTTAATTGTGGTGCAATTGTGCAGTGCAGGTACTGGATAGATAAATACATCACAGTATAGTAAAGTGATCTTCCTCTAGTCATACACTTGTCTGTATATTTTTATGAAGAACAGAGGATCCCTGTGATTATAATGTAATAGATGTATGAATGGGCCAGCGGGACTGATCTCAGTTAATGCATCTATTTGTGTTCTCATTAAAAGTGCAGAAAGATCAGCGATCAAATGTGGATGACAGTTGTCTGCACTAATTCACCCAGGAGTTTATAATTCCACAGTTACTGTAAATAAAAAAAGAGGGAGAGAGAATTAAATGTGCACAGCTTGTTTAGCTTGAATGAATGTTTTCTGTCTAATCGCCCCCTGCTTTTTTCCTTTACACATGTTTATTTATTTTTAAGAAACAAAAAAGGTACTCACATACCGGTAAATTTAGTCACTTTTTAATTTGCTTCTCATCTCTTCTTTCCTTAATGTCCTTTTGTCTTCCTGTCTGTCACTTGTCTGTGGTTGTCATTAGAAACGTGTTCTGCCACCAGCTGCCCAGACTTTGTGTATGAGCTTTTGTCTTTTGGGGTCTCTGAGGGGCCTCATGGTCAAACTCTGTGTACGCTACAGTTTAAAAATGTTTCTTCATGTGAATAATCAAAGATAATTGTATAGCGCTAACTTATTCCCCCATGGAGGTTCTGAATGTAGATATTGTTCATTAATATCTGTCCGTCATGAAATGTTTGTTATTTGAGATGCTATATTGTACATTAAGTATGGTGATGTCACTACTTGGTGACTTGTCTAATTTTTTTTACATAAACGACTTGTGATAACTCCGTCACAGCCTCTTTTGTCTTGTGTGTGTATATAAATGAAGGCTTGATACCTGATTGCACTACAAATGTCTCATTATCGCTCTTTATAGCTCAATACTGATGCATTATTCGACGGCTAAAGGAAATGATGTGTGTCTGAAACATCTGGAGCATTTGTGGAGGCTGATGTAACACATAAAGGCAGGCAAGGCCTCAGATAGCTGAGAGGGAAGAAGTCCTTGGATCCAGAAATGAAACTGAAACTGTTCAACTGGGTTGCCAAGTTTGTTCAAATATCCAAAATGAGTAGACCAAATACATTGATACAATACACATCTGATTTCACTTTTTGAACTGAGACATTAGCAACTGAATCTTGGAATTACACGTTTTTTAATTTTCCAGTATGGAAATTAATAAAAAACATGTTTGTGTTAGATTTTAATTAAAAAGATTAAAAGATAATCATGTTGATACTGGAATAAAAACAGAATGTAAAACATTGCATTTACTTCATTACAAACATTACAGAAAGGCAGCTGTTTAATGTTATGATCTGAATCATACATCATACACAGGATAATATTTTTAGAAGAATATCTTCCTGGCAACATGAAAGTCATGTCCTCTCTGGGAAACCTGAGGGTTTATAATGAATTCTACATTTACACAGTTTATTACACATGTTGTTTTTAAGGCTGATTCTCATATTTAGTTAGACTGAATCCAAAATCCCAAATATATATATATATATATATATATATATATATATATATATATATATATATATATATATATATAATAGAACAATTTGAATTTATAAAAAATATACATTTTTCTTTAAATACATGGTGGCTGTGTGTTTTCACAACGTGAGTTTTGTTCCCGCAAAAATAACTGAAGTTCCCAAGAGGTTGAACTGACCCGTGGGATTCTGGGAGCTGGACGGGGGGATATTTCTGATGCAACCTGGCAACCAAACAAACGGGCTGAGTTGACGACCCTCAGCAGCAGTCCCGGTGTGAGACCGTAAGACCGTAAGACCACCGGAGAGTCTGCAACTCTGCCCCAACAGCAGCAGACTGTTTGTGTCACAGTGTATCCGTTGTCAGTGGGCAGAGATGGGCCACGGTCGGACGGTGGCCTGCGTACTCTGTAAACGCTCCGACGAGACGAAGATAACCGGAGCGTTATCGACTAAAGATCAAGTCACGGCTCATCAGAACTGTTTGGTAAACATTTACTCATTGTTTATTGTTTGTTAAGGGCTAACGAACAGCCTGTGTGTGCTTACAGGAAGTAAATGTTGGTACTGGGCTGCAGTCAGTGAACCATTAAACTGTTGTTTCTGTTGATGTGTTTGAAAACATGGAGGCAGAACAGAAACTCCTGTAGAAACATATTGTGTTCAAACACTGACTTCATACAGGATGTGGGTATGGCGGCGGTGAAGGGCACGGTTTTGAATTCATAAGTGATTTTCAAATCGTTGCCGGGACAGAGAACATTTTTTAAAGTTATATTAACATTGGTGGAATTTAACTTAGTGCATTTACTCAAGTATTAAGCACAATTTGAGGTGCACATACTTGAGTATTTCAGTCTTCTACTGCACTACATTGCAAAGGGAAATATTGTACTACATTAATCTGACAGCTGTAGTAACCAGTGACTACAGAAAAAGATTGCACAAACATGACCTTTGATGAGCTGATGCATGGTTATACATTAAACCAGTGGTTCCCAACCTGGGGGTTGAGACCCCCAAAAAGTCGCCAAAGCTTTAAAGGGGGTCACAAGGCCTTCCTAATTTTTGAAAACTTAATGGTCAGCATTTGGTCTTCCCACCCCCCAACCTCTCAGACCTCAACAATACAGCCATTACACGCAGAGCACTCAGTATAGCACACGACCCCAGCCACCCCCTCAACTCATCATTCGTACTGCTACCATCTCGACACAGATACAGGACTCTGGCCTGTAAACGTGCTCGCTATGGCAGGACTTTTGTACCTTCTGCCATAGCATCCCTAAACAAGGCACCCCAGTAACCGCCGTGAGTGAGTGCTACGCACAGGACAGGGAGGGTTAAATGTGCTAAATGTGCTGCATTGAGTGTTTATTCTTGTTGTTATGTCGTGGTGTCCCTATGTCTCTTGTATCTATGTATGTATGTCTTAAAGCTATGTACAGACTGCGGTGACACATTTCCTGTGAAGGACAGTAAAGTATCTATCTATTTATTTGGTTGATTTCTGTGAGGTAAATTGCCTAATAGAACAATGGCCGAGCATCGGGGACAAGAAAAAACTGAATTTAAGAAACCTTTTATATGTTCAAGGCTTCATTCACAACCTAATCCTGCTCCTACAGTGAAGTATCTTTTGAATTACAGAGTTATTGTCCAAAACATTGTGTCCTCACCCATGTTGTTTCTGTCTCACAGTTATTTTCCGCAGGTATTTATTGCCGTGATTCTCCAGAGTTTGATGATTTGTTTGGTTTCTCTGTGGAGGATGTGATGAATGAGGTGAAACGAGGAGGCAAACTGGTAATGATTATTGACATTTCAGCATATGTGAATAGACTTTTTGCCATTAATTGTGTGATGGAAGATATTTATGTGTATTTACGTGTTACTCTGTGTTAGGCGTGTAGCAAATGTAAGAAAAAGGGTGCCACCGCTGGCTGTGAGGTCAGACGCTGCAAGAAGTCCTACCACTACCCGTGTGCAGTTCAGGAAGGAGCTAAGACTATTGAGGATGACGACAAGGGAAAATATGGGTTAGTCCAACATAGCTGTTTGCCTGTACGTCCAGAAAATAGTCTTGTAATGTAAAACCTGTATGGCAGTATGTTTAATTGTTAGAAAAAACATAGTTCATAGAAATAATTTTCCCTCATTTTGGTTTGATTGTAAAACTCTCTGTATGTTTTCATGCTTCAGGCTGTACTGCTTCTATCACTATCAAAAAACACAAGGCAAGTGGGGAGGTCTAAACTTTTGCCATTTGTTCTTATGCTCCTGTAAACATCCTGTAAACACACGTTTGTGGACAACATGTGTTTAATTTTTCCTTTTCATTTACAGAAAACAACTCTGTAAATAGACGTGCGTCTTCCGTCTCTGAGCACCAAACTTCGGAAGATTCCAACGAAGCCGGACCATCTAAGGTCTGACTAATGGAAGTGTGTAGTGCGCAGACTAAAGACAAATCACTAAAAGGCTCAGTAATTTCTTAAAACACGTAGGCACTGGAGTTTTTTTTAGCAAACGTCACTGAAGCAGGAGGAAATATTGCTGTTTTTGGGTACTATTTTCAGGGGCGGATTCATACACAAGCCACAACCGGCCGGCCAACCCCAGTTTAGCTTAGCCTAACTAGCAGTTAGTTCGGTGCCCCTGCCGTGCATCACTCCTATCTAGTTGAAAGCAATCGTTTGCTTTGTACCAATAAATCATTTATTTTTGGATAAAATCAACACAATTGGTTAGTATCCTCACGTTAGCTAACATAATCCACTCAGATGGTCTTTTGCTCGCGATAACGCAAACGAGCAAGCAAGTCAAGGTTAGCCAGCCAGCTGCAATCCAGAACAACTTTATCCAGCAACGGTTGCCCGGCAACACTGGCCGACAAAATAATCTGCGAATGGCAACCACCTTTAATAGTACAGAAATATTTTTAATGTATGTATTTATTTCTGGAAATCTTTGTCTTTTTTTTCTGTAGCCCAAACATTTAAAGGTGAAATAACTGGTACAGTGCTGCAAACACAGGAGGTCTTTATCTGGCCCCATACTGTTTACCAAGTAATGATATCCATGTTTTATTTTCATGAGGTATTTTGCCTTACTTGTGAGAAGACAGAGGGAAATATCAGCTTGGAAAGTTTGTCTAATAGTATTACTATGTAAGTATTTTCACATTTTGCAAACAAATCTATACCAAATTCTGTGTTTCTGATCTGCTCTTAACATCAGTATCTAATCGTTGTAACAACCAGGCCTGTGTGTTATAGATTGTATTGTGATCAACATGCTCCTGCATCACATAAGAGGTACGCCAGCGGTAAGTCCTCAAAGCACACGTGTCTCATGTGTTTTGTTGTAAGTTGTTGTGCTTCTTAGTATACAGTTTACATAAACACACACACACACACACACACACACACACACACACACACACATATATAAGTAAAATACAGGTGATAAAAACAAGTTAGTAACCATACAACTGTAAAGATATAAAAGTATCAGATAATCACAGTAATGTTAAAGAAGATGAAATGAGTTAAAAGCAAGATCATGGAAATTGGTCCTGAGCTGTTTCTTAAAAACTATTAAACAGAAAGCTGTGTCACCATACATTTAGTAATCATGCACTACAAGACATAAGGGGATGGTTTGGAACTCGGATAAGCAATCAGAAATGCATTAAGGTGCTGAACCATTAGAAGCCTTATAAATAAGTAAATATTTAAATCCTGAGTGCCACAGGAAGCCAGTGTAAATGATGCTAGTATTACAGGTTAAACATCTTTCTTATTGACAGGTGATTCTACAGCAGCCGGACCGTCTGCGTACAGCAGTGACTCCAACTCATCCAGCAGTACGAAGCATACCAAGGTACACATATTATTCATTCAGTCACTTCAAATAAAGTTTTTTTAATACAGGTTATTTTCTTTCGATGGTTTCGTGATTTTAATAATTCTGTTTCTGCTTTTGAAACAGAGACGGTTGAGTTTCAGTGACAAGTAAGTTTACTTTCTATAAGTATTTACAGTGTTTACATTTTTGTAAAGTTAGCAGCTTCTCATGCTTTTAGCCATTTTTACAACTCAAATGATTATTTGAATATTTTTTTATTTACTTGCAACTTATAAATTCAGGTTGCAATTTCATAAAAGTCTTGTGTAGGATCAAATACTGTCCCACATTCCTGTGAATATATTGTTGTTAGAATATTAGTTGTGTAGTAGTAAGTTCTTGTTTCACAAAGCTTTTTGATTGTTTTGAGTTTTCTGTTAAGAAACTTCACGTGTCATCATTGATACCGCATCGTTTTGATTATCTATGTTGTTGATCTGACAGCTAAACTTAGGCAGAAACTGCAGGTACTGCAAATTAATAATATTTGGTAACAACATGTACAATATTATCAGTGGGTATGCTCCTCCATACTTGTTTTCTAAGATAACAATGAGAAATACCATATAGCATAACTATAATACCAGTGTTAATTCTTATAATGTGCCTCAATGTAGCCATTCCTGTTTTACACTGGTGCCATGAAAAGCCTTCTGTTACACATCAAGTCTTTAAACTGTGTGTGTGTGTGTGTGTGTGTGTGTGTGTGTGTGTGTGTGTGTGTGTGTGTGTGTGTGTGTGTGTGTGTGAGTACAAGTGATGCAGTATTTGTTGTTTCTTTCTAATGTACCTAACTCTTTTCAGTGGTGGACAGTTTAAATATTTGCCAGCCACTAAGTTTGATTTTGGGTTTTTGTGTCTTACAGCTCTATCACTTCGTGCTGTGTTGTTCTAAAGCCTGATCTCTTTCCTCTGTCACAGACAGGAAGAGAGCGCCTCTAAACGTAAAGCTGAAAGCTGGAATGGGATAATAACAGAGGATTCTTCAGGTTAACCCACTCATACAACACATTAGTGAATGTAATCTACAGTATGTATGAATGAGAAGGAGAGGGGTAACAATGAGATTTATTTGATATTTCCATTCTTCTTCAGATGACAGTGAACCTAATGCAGACATAGAGATATTCGCCCCTATAGAGTATGATTTAAATGAAAGTGCAAACTCCCAGGTAAGTCTAATATCTGATTATTCCTCAGTAACATCAACATTAGAGGCTGCAGATGTTCAACTATCAGATCTTCACTTGTCTTTTCTTTCTTTTCTTTTCCTCCTTTTAGACTGTGCCCCAGTTGATCAGGTGAGATAAATATTAACATGTTTACGACATGTAATCATTTTTTAATAATACACTGTGTCACCTTAGAAAAATTAACATCCTGTATAATGTAATGCAATATTACAATAATAATAGTTCTGAAAATGTTCAGTTTTTGTTACTGTTACTGTTTTGTTGGCTACTTCAACCCATTTCTGGGTTATGTTTTGTTCACTTCAGTTACTGTACATATTAGAAGGAACAAAAATACCAGAAACAGCTCACTAGTGATGAAAGAACTTGTTGCTTTTCAGTTGTCAAAACATTTGGCAAAAATCATCAGAAAATATTTTGATAACTGTTGAGTTCCTTTATTAAAGTAATTTAATCAAAAGAAAATTAATAATAATTTTAGACGTCATTTAAGGCTCAGAACTTGTGATTAGTATTTTTTTCAATTTAGTTTTTCAATTTTAGTGAGTAAACAAACACTTAATATGATAATCTATTCAAATTGTTATCATTATTTATTTTGGATTAGGATATGGATAATTATCATTAGAGTAAATTGTATCATTATCTAATTTCAAATAAACATTTAACATTTCTCTGTAGCTCAATTCTAATATTGTTCTGTAAATATTTTTCTAATAATCCTCCGGTTTCTCAGTATTCAGTGAACAGATACTCGCTCCTCCCTAATTAAGATGTGCAGTTTCTCTTTGGTGTGGTCACCTAGTGTACAAATAACATTAGAGGATTGTTTTCTCCATTCACAGTAAAGCTACCAAGAGTCCCAGCGGGTCCCCCTCAGGTAGGCCGTCACAGCAGATTCAGTGTATATAGAGAATGTAGCAAACACATACAGTAATATACACATGTTCTTCCCACTTGTGCCGTCTCCTCTAGGAAATCAACCGGAGGATGAGAGCAAAGATGAAGATAAAGACGATGACGATGACGATGAAACAGTGAGTTGTTCCATATAACGTCAAACATGTCTTACCTTCAAACTGTATGTTTAACAGCTATAAATGATGCTATTATCTTTTCTTTATACTCAGTTGAACATTCAAGCTCTTCTAATTTCTCACTTAGTCCTCGAGCAGATTTGGTCTTCCTCTCTGATAGCCACAAAGTTAACTTGTGCTTTCTTGAAGATAATTTGAATTAGTCTGCCTCATTTAATCCCAGAAACGATACAGTTTTTTCATTCTCATGTGGTAAATTATCACCACTGGCAGAACACAGCTGACATTAAATGTGTTTGCTTCCTCTCAGGATGCTGAGTCAGTGAGTCTGCTGCCTCCTGTGGGGAGCAGCATGGAGTCCCAGTCACTCTCGACTCAGACTGCACTAGCTGCACATTCCCCGGTGGAGGTTGTAAAGAGACACAGTGAAGGTACATTTTGACCCAGTAGGGAATGGATTTTAATCACAACCATCAGTACTCTGTCTTGGCCATTAAAATCACATGCACAGGCCATTTGATGAACTCTTGCTCTCCTAATGGATGTTGTATTGGTTCCCAGATAGGGCATATGTAGGCCTATGTTGGTTTTAGCATAATCAGGTTATCAAATTTTTTTTCGCCTCCTCCATTTTCACCCATAAGTCAAATCTCTCACTGAGCAGAGAAAGGAAAAGAAGCTCTTCCTGTGGAAACAAACTCCACTTTCAAGTACAAAGACGTAGTTCTGGATGGGATTTAAATTACAGGAGGACTAGCAGCACTTACAGTTCACGATTACTGTAATTATTACGGGGGCGGAAGTGGAAAATTGTCCATATACTGTACGTGGTCCAGACAGGATTAAAATCACTGACCAGTGCAGGCAGTGTTAAAATCACCCTGCCTCCTCTAGAGAAACAAATCCTGTTCAAAGGTGGAAGGAATTGTATGATTGAAATTATGATGGCAAGGATTAAAGATAGTGATATACTGTGTATGATTACTGGTCAAAATGCTAATTCTGAGTTTGGCAGTTCACACATTTGTAAACACTTGCTAATTAAATGTCTTATGTGCACGTCTTGTGTCAAAGCGTACGCACACAGCAGATATCAAAATGTGTATCATGAAACCATGATGACCTAGGAGCCATCTCTTTTTCTCAGGGTCCAGTCCGGAGCGAAGTCCTGTCCACAGTCCGGTCCCTGATCAACCCACAGCCGGACCCTCTGGCCCACAGGAAGGCTCCGCCCGGCCCGCTCCCAGTCCAGTCCGCTCCAAACCCTGCAACGTGACTGGCTCACCTCAGTGCACCAGCACGGCCAGTTCACCAGATCCACCTGAAACCATCTGTGTGTCCCTGCTCTCCTCCCCTTCCTCCCCCGCGGCACTTCCCACAGACCCAGAGCCCGGCATCCACTCCACCAGCTTCTGGAAAAGCTGCAACGCGGCGGGATGCACGCAGGCCATCTTCGGCGATTTCGTTAATGCGATGAACGATATCTCCAGCAGAATTCAGTCAGACCGGGCCAGCCAGGAGGGTGAGGGAGGTTACAACATTTCCCCCTTATTTATTTTTAAACTCTGAAATATAAAGCTCACTCTCTCTTCTCTCCTCAGATTATGATCTTGCACTGAGAGTGATGGAGGCTTCTGGAAAACTGCCAGAGCTTGTGACCAAGCAGCAGAAAGGTAAAGTAAACGCTTAAAGGACCAGTGTGTAGGATATAGTGGCATCTATAGCGGAAAACTAATGAAAGTACATCAATGAATATTATATTCCATTTCTGCTTATACATTTTAAATGTTACACATTTAACGTTGACAAAGTCATTTAGACTGATGTAACCTCCCAGGCTGAGTCTGAGATGTTCAGTAGTGGAGCCTGGAGCGGTTAAACCCTTTAGATTTATTAACAATGTGACCTTTCTTTTGGTGCCACCCTCCAGCCAGACTTTCATCTGCATCATTGTATGCTTCATTAGTGGTAACTAATGGTGACAAAAGTGTTTTATCTGAGTCATGAGCTCATCAAAGCAAATTCCTACACACTACACTGAAATGACAAATGAGCCATGGTTGAGCATGCTAGCTTAAGAAAGGCTGGTGGTACGTGATTGGCTGAAAGGTGAGAGGGCGATGACAAAACCACTGGTATGAAAAGTGACGATATAAAATGTGACATTATGAAAAGTGACATCCTATGAAATTTAAATTATGAAAATAGTAAGGCTGAATAAAAAAAAAGGAATGGTCTGTATACGTCTCAACGTCTATATGTCTGTAACAGTCAAACAGAAATTTGAATTTGAACATTTTGGAGCGCCATAAAGTGCAGCTTCCGTTTTAAATATACTGAACCTTTTTAAAAGATGTACAAATTCAACATTTGGCATTTTTATCATGAACTTCAGTGACTTATAAATGACAATGTGTTGCTTTTACAGAGTTACAAAGGAAACAACTGGAGCTGCAAAAGGCAGCAGCAGCTATGAAGGAGGTCGTCTCAGCACTGAGGAGATAAGTCCATCAGCAGCTGCTGTAAGAACGTGGAGATCAGTGTTTACTGTGAACGCTTACTTCTTTTTGATTCTCACACTTTTAACAGATTTAGAACATTTGATACAAACAGTATATTTTTATATTTTTGTATTGATTATGGCTTCATATTTAAGCGAAGGGTTAGATGTGGGAATACAAAACCGTACCAATGAATGATATTGATAATTACTGAGCACTGATCTCAGATTACAGCCTGAGAGAAATGCTTTTAGAAATAAGGTGTAAATGGTACAGTTCTGTTTAGAAAGGATGTTTCACAGGAACATTTTCGTGGTGGAAACGGGTTTTATTTCAAAACCTGCACTGAACAGAAAGAATTGTTTGCCTGAATGTTTTAGATGTTTAAATTGTTCAATTGTTCCGTTCAGATTTTTTAAAAATATTTTGGTACTGATATGTATTCTTTTTTTATTATGTTTATTATGTATTACTTAAAATGTAAGATATTTTATTGTCAACCGACAATGGAAAAACCAAAACATTTTGCCACTGTGTTTACATATCTGTGTATAGGTGAATGCCTCAGTAGGGATTTTTGTTCCTTTGCACGGAGAAGAGAAAACATCTGAAGACACTTGTAGTATAAAAAAAAGCTTAACTTAATTGTGACAACAAAGTTGTTCTTCATACTACCACTTACAGGAACTCTTCAGTCTTTGTCACTTGAACTGTTGTCGGTGAGTGGCCAAATTGTTCTGATGCACTATTTTTTGACTTAATGTTATTTACAGTCCAGAAGGGTCCATTATTGCTTGTTCAAGAATATATTTTTAAAGCTTTAAAATGATATCGTTAAAATGATAAATGTTCATTTGAAACTGAAATATGTTGGTGTATGTTTCTTGTTCTTAGACCTTTTTTTGCTCAAGCTGTCACATATCTTTCACTCAAATAACATAGGGCCCTAAATATAATTACACGGAATTGTTCCAGTCCTGGTTATTGATTAAATATGGCCCCCTATGCATTCTTATCAGTAATGCTTTAAATTTAAACAGACTGTTGTTCGTGCTTTAAAAAAAAAACTAACCGAACACCAAACTGTAGAAGTTTACAAACCAACCTTTTCTCTCAAAGACAAACCAAGTCACCATCTCAAGACTAGACTAGGTTTATGTTACTTCCACAGTTGCAGTATAAATTCAGTTTGATACAAGGTGAAACAAACACTTTGTGGTGTTTGACTGCATATGTTCTGTATGCAGACGGTTTGCATCTTGTGGTTTATTGATGATTTATGGATGTACAAAAGAAGATCAGTATTATTGTCCTGTCAAACGTAATAATTGTGCTTCAAATATTACTATGATACATTAAAAAAACATCCTTTTTATTTGGGTTAATTGCAATATATTTGACATAAAACACAAGAGTCAAGAGTCTTTTTATTAATTTGCTTGCAGAGGTCACACAATTTAACTGGCACATCATAATACTCCAAATCAATCAATAGACATAATTGATGATTTTGAAGTAGAAATGTCCTGCATAGAAATTAGCAAGCGTGTTCTTCAAAATACTCAGTAGTAGTGCAGGTGTCACTAAATGACTTTATAAATGTTAATACTGTAAACTACTGTTATCGACATACAGTAGATGTGATGTGGATGAAAAGGTGTCCAGGCCCATACACGTTAAGCTAGGCCACGCGCCTCACTGTAAACTGATTTTTAATGGCTGCGTTCATTTGCAACCAGGCAAGTTTAACCGCCACATAACACCTACTGAAGTGTTTTGTGCGATAAAAATAGTTTTAGCTGCACTAAATAACACTTTCCAACCTATGGAATCCACAGCCGTGGCTCACAGATGATCAGCAGTTTAAGACTGAATCTCTCTGAATGTTCTGAGGCTCACTTGTAACCTGAGTTCCCCTCTTTGGGTCATCTTTCAACATCGCAGCAGTGGAGGCCACTAAGACTAATAATGGCTGACTGGAGTTTGACCTAAGCAGACGTAATAAAAAAGCTTGAATGTGTATTCTTGATTATGTCAATGTCCAATATTGAAAAGTACTTATTCTGTCCTGACATCTACAAGTGCAAACAGCCTCATACCTCAACCTGAAAACCATGATTCCAGATGGCACATCCAAACTATGATGTGATTCCAGTGAAGAGGAACAGAATCATATTCAAAATGTTTCAAAATAAGTGCAAACACTAAATAAGTAACTTGGTCAATTACACAGAATAATATAAAAAGTAAAGTGATATCAGGCGACTGGCAAGAATCTTTCAAGATAATAGAATCAACAACTTGATCAAGCAATAGTATGCCTCTCAATGCACTTCAGCTCCTGCTTTACATCAATATGTGTAAATAAACAGGCAGTCAGGCACTGTGGCAAAGAGTTACTCTAACTGGACTGTGTAAGGATGCTGCTACCTGTCGACTCAGCCTTGTAATTCCGGTATGTACAGCTCACATAATGGACACACTGGCTCTAATCTGGAATGAGATGAATATCAGATTGGAGAGTAATGGCGGTGATCTAAAGATTTCCTATGTGTAACCAACCGTCAGTGAAGGTACGTGGAGCCAACTGGGAGCGACGGAAGTCCTTTTAGAAGTCACTCCCCGAGACTCTGCATCTGTGTCTGTAATCATCTGGGGCTGAAGTCAGTTTTTGAAGGCTCCACAGCGGCTGGCCCGACAAATGAAATCTTTGAGCAGATTGCCGTCAATCTGCCAGAAAGCAGCGGTCTGGGTCACCTCAGTGAGGTGATTCACACAGAACTTAAAGCAGAACTCTTCCAGGTCCTGAGTGTCAAAGGTTAGAACACAAACAAGTTAATTGTTGTTCATTTTGATCAAATGTTCTTCAAGAAATGTACGAGATACTAGGAGTAGCTTTGAGGGTCCTATTTGTGTGGTCACGGATCAAGTCTTCCTCTCTCCGTACTAAAATACATACACAGATGACAGTTGGTCTGACTGACCTCTGCATCGTAGCGCACAGCAGCAGACAGCAGGGAGAAGGCGTTTTCAACAGTGATTCCCCTCTTTATAATATGCTGACATAGACGCTTCAGGCGGTTCTCACAATATGACGTGGCCAAGTCCAGCAGCCCTGAGAGAGCAGAGACAGTAACGCTAAGTTTTAACAATTAAGACACAGACAATGTCAGTGTAACGTGTGTGTGTGTGTGTGTGTGTGTGTGTGTGTGTGTGTGTGTGTGTGTGTGTGTGTGTGTGTGTGTGTGTGTTCTGACCAATAGCATCCTCAGGAGGCAGCTCCACATTGTCCGTGTAAAGGAACTCTAGGAATGAGCGGTACACTGGGTAGGAGAACTGGTCTATCTCAATCACCTCCTTCATGTCTTCATTCCAGTGGGACTGGAACATGGATCTGAAGTGTTCACACCTACACAACAGTTTGTTTTCAGAACAGATACAGATGTTATTTATTTTTCTATTATTTATATTCTACAGTATAATGGCTTAACCTGACAGCTGTGAGACAAAATCCCTGACCTGATTTTGAGAATTGCTTTGTGGATGTAGATATATTTGCCGTCAACGCAAAACTTGAGGTCAGCTGTCTCTGGGTTGTCAAACTCTTTCTTCAGAGACTGAGCCACGGTCAAGAAGTCATCGTGCTCTGGAGAGAGAAAGCACAGCCATGCATGCACACCACACACAAGCTCTGGCATTAAGAAGATAAAAAAAAAATAAAAACTGTAGCACTGGTTTCAACTATAGTTTTCTTGTATATATTTTTGCTGAGGTTTTATTTTACAAAAAATTTCCATGTGAATTTCCTGGAAAGAATGATTTATTTTGGTGCTAACTATAGGTCAAATTGAGACAGTGCCAATTAAATGCCAAGATTGTCTTTAGTTGGTGCACATCAGGTAAGTTGAAAAGTTCTGGAAGAATGTGGTTTCCAATAATACAGTTTCAGGGTCCTGTTATCACTGACACTGTCAGTAAGTCCTAACAGTGGGACACTGGGACACTTGAATAGAACAGACATTGTTATTGTAAGTAGCACCTGTGCTTTTCCCTCTATGACACGTCACGTAAATGAATAATTAATAAATATTTATTTGGATATGAATGGAGTGGGGGTTTTTTTTCCAAGGAAATGTATCTGGAAAGGAACAACTGCCTTTAAACTTAGCAAGTCAGAACTTCGCCACTATTGTCCCGATAATTTGTACCCAATTACATTTTTCTGACCAGGAAACCCTCAAGAAAATGTTTTATTAACTATTACTAATTATTAGAAACCCTTGCAAATAATGGACATGTAAACAAAGTGCTATCTTTTCAGGGTTGTTTTTTTAAACACAGACAAGTATTGTTGAAAGGGATTTAGTGTAAAGTAGAGGAGCCACTGGACAGTTAGGCTGGAATAAACCCTGCACAGGCAGATGACCAGAGCCACATTTTTATACTATTAACTATAAATGATTTATAATTACTAAATTACCATACATTTTTAGACTGATTCATACGTCCATGGCAGCAAATTGAATTGTATATAGTTTAATTTAGTTAACATATATTCAAATGCTTTGTAGTGTCTCTTTTGTAACTGTGAAGGACTTTCTAACTTGTCTTGAAGTAAAATGCTATACCAAACTATTTTTCACTGCCAGCCTTGTTTTTTTTTTTAATATACGTGCAATATCCTGACAGGTAACAAAGTTCTGTTTCATTCCTTCGTGGCTACCATATGTCTCCTTGTGCTCTGTGCAGGTGGAGATCTCTCATATAAACACGTGCATGCATAGTGGCCTACATTCAGCCTCTCTGATCTACTTGCAGATTAATCGCTCCATAGATCTGTGTTTGGGTTCTGTATTTTGCTTGCAGGTCCAAAGGAGGTAAGCACATTCTGTGTCATTCGGTGTTTGTCAATTCTGCCTGTGACTTTACGATCAGAGAGCAATGTTGCCCTCTAAGGCTGTGGTTCACAAGCTATCCTACCTTTCCTTTTCTATCTGTAGGTTTTTAGGCATATTTGTCTTGCATGTTGTGATATAGTATCCTCTCCCATATTCGATCCGAAATTGGAGAAAAGGTCCAATTTGTTGTATCCAGTTTGGGAAGATGGCAACAATAAAGGGGGGTGTCACTAATGGAGAACTATTCGGCAGTTTCCACGAGAGCACCCTGCACTGTTTCAAGGTTTTATTGCCATAACTTGCTTCTGGGTCCACGCTAGCATCAGTTATTCTAGCGTTGGCTTTAGCAGTTGACCAGTAGGTGGGTTCTTTGTGGCACGACTGGTATGAATCATCAAAATTCTAGGAGGCCGAATGTACGATACCACAAGGTTTTCATGCCTTGTCTTTGTCCATATTGTTTCCTGCCACTGACAGGTATCCAGGAATTCTCAGAATCAAAGTTACCACACATCTTTGAATATGAACACAAAACGGCTCTGGAAAATAGTCAAATGTGACAGAAACCTTGAATGGTCATTTAATAACAACACCATCACTGGGCACGAGCCCCCTCGTCTTACCCATCGTAAGAAGCCTCCACATAACTGAGGGGGTGGCGAAGCATGCAAAGACATCGTCGGTGCAGGTAAAGTGCGTGAGGTGAGGCAGTACTATAGACTGGCCCCTGCACTGGCCCCACATGTACACCTGACCACTCTGGGTTTTAGCAGCTGATGTGTGTGTGGAGTGACAAGCAGCAATCTCCACGATTCTGTCAAAGAAGCCAGAGGAGAGAACTGAGCATTGTATAAGACAGTGAGAAGGGAGTTTATTATCTCTGTGGTGATGGTCTCGCTCACCTCTCTTTCTCAGCCATGATCTGAACTGGGCTCAGCTGGTTGCTCTTGTTGCCGGTGCCCAGCTGTCCATATGTGTTGGCACCCCAAGCATAAAGCAACCCCTCATCTGTTAGTGCCAGGGAGTGGGCATAGCCTGAGACAATCTGGAGAGGAAAAAACACTTTTTGATCTAAATATCCACAATTTTAAGATGACAAATCTAATACACACTTTTTTTGAACCCTAGTGGGAATTTACCGTGTCATTATTCTATACACTGCTATTCTATGATTAATTCACCCTTTCAAAGTCTGGTGCTGACATTAAAGTCAGGGGCAGAATCACATGTAACAATGAATATGTGGTTTATCTGTTAAAATGCCCCTATGATTTTTATTATGTTGGGACAATTAAATGAGTTAAAAACCAGGATCTGTGAACATAATTGTTCCATTTCTAATCCTGATGTTAACTCATTGAAAGCTAGGCAATTTAATAGTCATAACCACAGCTTGAGTGAAGTGCATTATATGGGCACTGAGACTGAATAGGGACAGAATCCTTCTCCAAAGTGAGACATACTGACATCCTCATTCCCAATGGAATTAATGAGAAGATTTAATTTGCTTCTTATGAAGTATTTCTTATGAAGTAGATATAATTTGTGGTGTTTTCCATGTATTTTATATCATGTGACTCTGTACTTGTAGCTCCCCTTGTTGAGATATGCTTGTGCCATTGTGATAACCTAAAATTAATCCCAATGGTTTATATACATTGTGAAATTGTCAGAATACACGCTGAAGAAGGGCATCTTGCCTGAAGCGTCCATGTGGCAATACTAGTGCAACAGAACTTGGAGGGAATACTGAGAAGTAAAAAAAATAAGAATCTTTGTAACAATTCAATCACAACTTTATCCATCATCTTTATGGCAGATTCTTAAAAAATGGTATTAATTGGTGGACACATATCAGGATTTCTTCTTGTAACCAGTAGTACTGGCGTACTGGCTGCTTAAAATGTCGACTAATTGGATTGTTGATGATTACATATGCTTAGATTATTACGGTATATCAAATCTCCTAGTGTGCATGTGTACTGAAAGCTCCATTCAAGTAAAAGTTTTTATGAGTGTGTAATCTCACACCTGTTGCACACATAAACCCTGCAGAGCTACAAGGCGACAGGGAGTAAGCTGGTTCCCATTATTTCCAAGTCCAAGTTGTCCATTCCCATTGTAGCCCCAACCGTACACCTGCAGGGACATGAAGAGAACATGAGTGTTGGGGTGGATGGAGATGGATAACACCTAGCTCCAGCATAAATTAAACAGTCACCTCTCCATTGTCCAACACCGCCAGAGACGAGGTCTGACCACAGACGATACCGACAGCCACTTTGTTCTGCAGGCAGCTGGACACTCTGCGGGGTGTGGGCTGGTTCGCCGTGGAGCCTGAACCCACTTGACCACAGTTGTTGTAGCCCCATGCATACACCTGGCAAACAGGGGGGTGAAGGCGAGACGTGAGACAAACCATTCAAATGATGGAGAGCGAGAGAGAGCTCCAGCCAGCACTAGTTGCCAGGCAACCAGCAGAAAAATATACAGGCCCGAGCCAAGAAGCAGTCCTGTTAGCGAAGTTAACTGGCGGTAGCTTTATATTTATTGTAGAGACATGAAAGTCGAAATCTATTTTCTGATCTAACTCTCTGCAAGACAACAAAGAACTGTGTTTCCCAGAATGTCAAACTATTACTTTAACAAATCTCAAACTATTCTTCCTCTTTTTGTTTTTTATTCAACCAGTAAAGACAACATTTTGCTGTATCTGGGAACCGGTAGGACTACAGTAAGAAGCTGACTATGTTTGAAGTAGTTTGAAGCACAAGACTGAGCTTAGTTTTCAGCTCAAGGGGATCAACTACTGCTGTGTATTGCCCTGCAATGGACTGTATGACTAAGCTCTGTCTGTGACCAAAGCTGAGTCACCTGCGTCATTAGAAAGGCTTTAATGGGGTTTCCATTCTGTTGCATGTACAATTCTGCCGTAAAATAAACGTATTTGTCTCCAGACACTCACTTCTCCTGAGTCAGTCAGAGCCATTGAGTGGTGAGAGCCACAGGCCACCTCTGTGACCTTCTTATTGAGCAGGCTGGCAGACACAAGCACCGGAGCTACTCCTTGGTTGGTTGTCCCATTTCCCAGTTGGCTGTAACCATTATGGCCCCAAGCAAATAGCTCTCCATCTGAAACACAAAAAGATTAGTCATTCTGCAGCACTTTTTAATCCAAATGTGAAGAGGAGGATTAAAATGTTTTGTGCAGCTACCCTCTGTGGCCAGCAAGATGTGGGGTCCGCTGCCATAGCTCAGGCTGACCACCTTCCTCCCACTCAGGAAGTCCACCTTCTTGGGTATAATGGTGCTCTGGCTGTCCCCTGTTCCCAGGCAGTTACTGCAGTTCAACCCAAATACATACACCTGAGGGTGGGGAGAGGAGGGACAAACCAGAGAACATGTAATGTGGATCAGAGATAAGCAGGGCTAAGCAAAGACAGCCCCAGTCAGCCGAGTAGGTAGCAGGTCACATTCCAGACACACAAAGATAAGAGTGTAGTAGATACAACTGCACTGATACACAGGGGTGACAAGCAAGGACGGGAGCACTGGCACACTGTTTATTTTGATATCTAAAAGAACCATAGCAAAGGTTTGGCAACTGCATACACACTACTGCTGATCTATTATTCAACAAAAGATTTACAATAAAGGTTAAACATATGGAAACCTATTGAAGCAGGAAACTCCTGAATTCACATTATGCTTTTCTAAATGTGCACAAGCTTTTCCGCAGACCACTTTCAAATCTGTAGTGAGGCTGCGATTCTTGATTTTCTGGCCACTTGGGGGCAGCAGAACAAGCTGTAAGCATAACATTGACATATTTTTGCATTATAATTTAATTTCTTAAGCAACCCTAGAAGTCTTACATTACCAATGAAAGTCAGTAAATGACTTCCCTTGTACACGGTTTTCCCTCTGACCTCTCACCTCATCATCGTTGGTGATGTAGATGGTTTCATTAGCAGACATTCCAAAAACGCACGCTTTCCGTATTGCAGAGAGCTCCTGCGGCCCCATCAGGCTGAAAAGGGGCCATTTGGTTACATCCACCATGATGCACTCACTGTCAGTCTGTGGGTGGTGGGCTGGAGGGAGAGCACCTCAATCCAAAGGCATGGCAGGCGAAAGGGGCAGGGGGAGGGGGTGAGTAGGCAAAGTTGCCAGTGATGCAGACGCTGTTGTGAGTGGGTTTGAAAATATACAGAGTCAGGGAGCAAAGACAACCTCTATAAACATTCATTCAGTCAATGCAATGAAACCATGCTAAACCCGCACCTGATTTTGCCGAGGAGATTAGAGAGAAGTTGGGTCATGTGGTGCAACATTAGCTCAAACAGATCAGGGCCGGTATGTATTAAGCTCCTTAAAGTTTTTGTCTTAAGTGCTTCAAAATTCTCAGAGTGATATCCATTTATTTCCTCAGTCTTATAATTAACAATACATGGCAAATATATATTTAAGACTTAATCTCAGATCGCAAATAATTTAAGAATGAATTAAATGTACAGAGGCAGAGGAGTATTGATTTGTGTACTGACTGTCTTCGTTATGTGTTGTGAGGTTATGTATTGTGATTGTTCATATATAATATACAGATATAACAGATATAATATAGACTTATATATGTAGCATAACTATATAGTAGTTATCCACAATTTAACCACCAAACATGTAGTATACTGGTCTACCCAGCGTTCAAATAAAACTCACTTGGATGTCATTTCTCAGAATGAAACTAAATATATAAATAACTATAACTGATTAAAACTGTTACCTGATAACTTCACCAGCTTAAGTCTTGAAGCTCTGACCTCTGACCTCTGACAGACAGCTGCCTTTGTAGACTTTACTATAACTCTACTGTAAACAATATAACATCTGCTTCAAGGTGGATTTTCTGCTCTCTCTTCAAACCACAGACAAGCTGTTTCAGTCTCACTGAATACTGTTATTGGTGAAAACAATATTTGGTATATAATTGCTGAAAGTCTTGGTCACAGAGGCTTTATGTGTTGTAACAACACTGCTAAACCCAGAGCAACTCACAAGACCCACTCCTCCTGTGTATTGTGTTATATTATACACACACACACAGACAGAGAGAGAGAGAGAGAGCAAACATGGGCCACTTCACTGTTAAATGAACACAGTTAGCTAGCTGGCTAATGTTGGCCATTGTTACAAACGCATTATTCAGCAAACTGTCCAGCTGACACAACACAGCCAAGTGAACCGAGTTGGTACTCGACTGATCCGTTTTGAAAGTCTCTCTAATCTAACATAAGCTAACTCGCTTTCCAGCTGGCTACCGTTAGCGAATTTAGCCTGGGAGGAAAAAAAGACAGTTTTATAAACCACTTTCAAAGCTACAGAAGAATAACATTAACATTTCCCACCTGTTAAATAGATCTGTCTCTGGTGTCGGTTCTGGCCGACGGTGTCACCATGTCACACGGGTCGGTAGCGGGGGTGTGTGTGTGTGTGTGTGTGTGTGTGTGTGTGTGTGTTTTCACTTTCTGCTGAAGCTGCCACACTCGCTGCTCTGACGCTTATTTGCGGAAGTGCGGAGAAAAATAATGACACGTGATTAATAGACCAAAATAATCGAGCTCAGACTCGAGCGGTTTTATGCTCTGAATCCGGTCCGCGACTTGTGGTTCTGACCGAACAAGATACCTGGGATGTATTTCAACACATTTTCCACTCAAATATTTGTTTTTCTTGTTGTTCACTGTACTGGATGATTAATATGTGCAGAGATAGACATGATCTTCCTCCGCAGAGGGAGTTCAGTGACAACAGAGGAGTATTGTGTAAGACAGCCGAAAGCTCCAGAACAGCTATTGAGTGGACACTATGTTCAGGAATGAACTTCTATTCTTAACTCGGACTTCCTCTGATGGAATATTAACTCTAGAAATAGCACAATGTGAGCATGAAATCAACAGAAAAAATAAAGCCATTGACGTTACATTTTTATAAAGGCTTACAGGTCTTGATGAGGTTAAAATGCAGGGGCTTCTTTGTTATCATGTATTGCATTTTCCCTTCAAAATTGTAACCAATCAAATGTCCACACAGTCCACCTGGGGGATCTGGATCTGGGTCAAGCAGCATTGATGTTGTGGAGGCCAATTCAACATGTTTTTGTTACAGACTCTGCAGGAAACCCACATTTAGGCCAAGTTAATCATTGCCCTTGAGTCAATGTGTTCACCAACAGACACACACACACACACCTAACTAACTGTGCCACTTAAAAAACAAATATGTTCATTACACAATGGGCCATTATAAGTGTCCACTGTACGCTTGATGTTTTTAAAACACAAAGCACCAAGCCCGCCCTGGCCTGGAATCACCTGTGCAACATGACTGATGTGCCCGGGCTTCAGGAAAATTCAAACATCATCACGCGAATAAAGAGAAGAATTGAGATCCATTAGCAGCAGACGATCGTATGACCGCCATCCCATTGGTTGCTGCCAGATCTCACCTGTAATGTAAAGGATGTGCCACAGAAGAACAATGATAGGCGTAAAAGCACTTACAATTTTATGATAGTCAGTTTGCTCTTACACATGGAAAGGGAGCCATGCAGAAGTTGTAAGCTCTAGGGGGAAAAATGTGTTTCTCTCTCACACATAAAACACTTTAAACCCACCCTTGTTAAAAGCTTCTTTCACATCCACGCTCATACAACTTAAATTTGACTAACAGCTACTGTATGTACTGTATGTAATCACAACACTTGCAAGCACGGAGGATCCAACGGCTAAACAGCAAGTTTATTTTGGTTAGGATCAGAAACACAGATCATGTCCTGAGGGTGAGATGAGATCAAAATCCCCTGACTGAAATAATGGTAATGATGGTCTGTGGTGTTTCAGGAAGAAGGGGGGGAGGGAGGGTAGGTGTAATGAGTGGGAGAAATGGTGTGTTACAATGTTCAGTGAATAAGATTGGAGGGTAGCAGTTACTCTCAACAGCAGAGAGCAGCATTGACCATTCCCATGGCAAACTCCAACAACAGGGAGACCACATATTACTGCAGCCACATCTCCCACTTCAAAATTCTCCAGTTGCTCAAAGATTTTTTTTTTCTATTCAATAAAACCCTAGTTTTAGTTGAAATGAAAAACAAAAGGCACAATGATTTTCAACTCATTCTTGTCTTTAATATGCACAAGAGTTGAAAGCATCAATGAGCCACCTTAAAGAGAGGAATTCAATCTAAAATTTATAAAAAGATATAAACAATCAGAGGCCAAAACGCTGTCTGTTGCTTTTCTCCTATTATTTTATTTAAAACAACTTTTCATTAGCAAGTAAAAATCTTGCAACAAACATAAGCTTGTATCCAATTCAGATACAAGGCAACGAAATTGTAAATCTTTAAAGTGGCTCGGTCTAGTCTGCTAGTTCATGACTGTACACCCTCTATAGTTTTGTTCAGTAATAAACAGCTAGTCCCAAAAACAAGCCCGGGCTGCTCATAACAACCCCAACCCAATATTTAAAACCCCCAGTGTGACCCATCCCACACTCCTCCTCCTCCTCCTCCTCCCCCCCCACCCACCCCCCCGCTCTAAACCCCTTTCAGTAGTTAGCAGCCAACCAGAGGATCATAAAGTCTTCGAGACCAGGGTTGGGGTCGGGTTCACGGTGTGACACCTTGAACCCGCACCCACACACCAACTGGGACATGGGACGGTACATTTTAAACAGCCGTCACCACTACGAAGAGAGAAAAAAAAAAAGAAAACAGCCTGTTCCAATTCATCAGCATGTCATCACAATACATATGCAAGTCAAAAATAAAAATAATGAAACAAAGAAATATTGCTTCCAAAAAAAAAAAAAAAACCCTCCCCAGCCATCTTTGACAGTAAGGTTATCGTCCATCCAATGACTGTCAGCTGCAGCAGCTTTGTACAGGCTTTATGTAAATATATTCATATATTCATTAGACGGCAAGGAGAGATACACATCACATTTTTGTACAATTATTCAAATTGAGTGATGACATGTGACCTCTTCATCGAAAAGTTGTAAGTACTGTAAAGGTCAGGACCTGTACTCGTTACATAAGTCTAGTCTTCAATGAGTATAGGTCCCTTTTCTGCAGGCAGACATCAATATGCCTCTCAGATGTGTGCATAAGACTGAAGAAAAGGAAAAAAGGAAAAAAAAAAAGACATATGGGAGCTCCACAGACTCAACCAGAAGAAGCTGAAACATGAACCTAAAATATTAGTTTGAAGATAGAATTTAAAAAGAATTAAAATAAGCTTAAGGTCAGATAAGCAATTTGGGTCGATTTTTGAGCTCAACTTTTTTTTTTTGTTGAACCCCGCCCCCCGCCCCCCTTTTCCAAGTTTCACATTACAGGGGAGTCCCAAGCACTTGATCACAGGATGTGACTGAGCTCCTGCTGCAGAAATGGATGTCCTGTAGGGGGATAAACACTACAGCTGACATGTTCCTCTTCTCTTAAGTCTCTGCGCCTTCACCTTAAGGTGCTTACTCCCGTGACAGGTATTCACATCCATTAAAAACAAAAACTGCTGTCGCTCTGCTGAATCAGAAGCAGGCAGTAAGCAGGTCTTACAATTGTATGTATTGAAACAAAAAAGAAGAGAATTATGGCATTTTCTTCACATTTTTGATGATTTCTTTTTTTAAACATTTGATAAGGTCACATTAAAAAAGTGACTTCATTGAGTCAGAAGTCCCGTCAGTCAGTTTGCCACGGAGTCCTCTTTTTGCCTAAGAGCCCTTTCACCCCTCCGCCCTGCCCCAGGACTCTCCTGGGGGGGGCAGCAGGGGTCCGTGGTTAATCATGGCTTAGCTCTGGGATTAACTCTTTTAACTGGGTGAGAGAGGGTTATTGGGGTGCCCGGCCATCGGGGAAACCGTGTGACTCAAAGTGTGTCAAAGTGTGTACTTGTGTTAGTGTGTGTGCGCGAGGTTTAAGTAACACCAGAGGAAAATCCAGGGGAGGGAAAGCACAAAAATAAACCACAAACAAACAGCAGTATTTTCTTCCCATAAGTGATATGATGGCTTCTAACAGAAGTATGCACACAAATTCTAAGTGTCAAAAAGTGTGTATATGTGTGTGTTTGTGACTGAAAATGTGCTTGTTTTTGTCTTTATGAAGACTTGACATTTGGCAATTAAATCTTGCCACGAAGGCTTTTTCTTCCTTCTGGTTTTATTTTTGTGATATTTAGAAGCACTGGCAGAGAATAGTGGCAATCCTCCTGATGCAGGTTGCCAGATGGTGATGGTGCCTGTCGAATGACCAGGACTCCTATGTAGGGTTGCCGTGTTCAGTGAAGGATGACCATTTGAAAGAGAAAAAAAACAAAAACACCCCGCAGTGTAGAGACAGGGGTGGATAATTCCTTCAATGGTGAGTTTCCATGTTGAAGTGATGCTAAGTAAATCCTTCGGTACCAGGTTGCCAGGTTGGAGGAGAGATGGATGAATGTCTGGGGTGATTACAGAGTACCCGTGCAGCTGGTTGAACCAAACATCCTGGCTTTTAGAAATTAAACTCCTTTGTTTGCATGTTGGAAGCTGGATCAAAGTTGAAGGTCCCTCCTTGAGTGGTGTCAGGGATCAAGCTGGGATCCTCATCAATCTGAAAAGGACAGATATCATTCTGAGATCACAGCAGAGACAAAACTAATGAAAATGTTGAGGCGTTAAGTCACTGGTAGGAAACTTACATCATCTCCTGAAAAGTACTGATCAATAATCTCGAAGGCTAGTTTGTAGATATCCTCATTCTCGTGCTGCTGCAGATTTTCTATCTTCTCCAAACCTGAAATTTAAAAAAAAAAGACAAATATAACCTTTCTTCTACCATTAACAACATTAACACTGGGAGCTGGCTACTGCATATTATGAATAAGACAAATGAAGAGCATACTGAGGCATAATGTAAGCAAACCATCCACCAGATACAGACCTCCACACTCCTCTATGATCTCTGCAATGGTGCTGGCTTCGTCTCCTGCCATGATGAGGATGTTCTTCAGGCCGTCCAGGACAACCTGCACAACCTGGGAGTCCTTCACAGACAGCAGGTTACAGAACGGAGGGATGACATTCTGCTCCACCAGGAACTCCACCTACACAAACCCACACATACACACCACATCCATACTTGATTACAACATAGGCACATGGGTTACAAGTGTGGAACACATCCTTGACCTTCATATGTAAAACAAGTCAACATCGCCTAGTATCTTCCTTCAACAGTTCTGCTTGTTGAAAAAAAATTACAAAATGAGGTATTTAAATTGTGAAAATTGCATGCTGTTTAAATTAAAGCATATATGTTGAATAAAAAACACACTCCGTATAGCAGTAAATGAGGTGAAATAAGCCCCAGATTTCGTTGGTCCCAAACCCCAGCTCACCTGGTCTTTCCTCCCACTGATGGTGAGGTTGCTGATGGCCCATGCTGCCTCCTTCTGAGTGCCAAAGTCACCCTGTAGAGAGACAGGCTGTCACTAAGATGTAGAATAGACCTGCTATGTGCACAACAGCATAATGCCAAGGGACATAGAAAAATCTAGGACATGCTTTTGTTCAGTGTTCAAGTCATTTATCAAGAGTTGTGTTACTTCTCTGGCAACAAAAAACATAGAATGTGTTAATGCAACTGAATACAAACAATTAACGCCAACATTATGCTTTCCCAAATTTAGAGTCTGATACCATCTGTTGAGAAAGCTGAATATAAAGTATAGAGAACTTAAAGATTTAGGAATTTCTTTCCTGTTCTTCCATCGTGCACAAACCTTAGCCAGTTGGTGGATAATCATAGGAATCAGTCCAGCATCGATCACAGCTTGGACCTGCTGTTGGTTCCCAGCTGTAATGTTGGACAGGAACCAGACTGCTTCCTGCAAACAGACCAATCCCAAATGGTCACGACAAATGGCACTATATCTTGCACACAGACATGGCTATTCTTCCAAAATCCTGCATGTCTCTACCAGTACTTTACGGTTTCCCATTGGGCTAGTACACAGGGAACAGAGAAGGGGATTGCCCTTCAAAATAATTTTTGCACTTCACACTTGATTGTGCATATAATCTGGCTACAGCATCATAACCTTGAACAAGTTTGTTACAACAAAGGCCGACTGTCTACATTTAAAAAAAAAAAAAAAAAGTGTACAAAAACAACAACATGAAGTTTGAGGCTGTGGTTACCTTGTTGATCTTTTCTTTAGGGTGAGTGAGCAGGTTGGGGAAGTGTGAGAGGACATCGCAGTTGAGCACAACCTGTGTCTGCTCATCTGTCCCTGTCACGATGTTACCCACTGCCCTCAGAGCTGCCGTCTAGAAAAGGAGGGCAATAAAAAAAAATGAAATTACTTTGCTTCATTAATTCATTGAGGATGACATTTTGAAATGGTCATCTTACTGTGGACAATAGGCAAAGGCTAATTCAATCAATAAAACAAAGTCTCACCTGAACTTTGACCTCCTGATGGCTGAGGAGAGGCACAAGAAATGGAACGACTCCAGAATCAATTACCATTTGGATCTGCTCATTGCCCCCGTCCGTCAGATAAGACAGAGCCCACACTGTGTCTACTAGGATCTGAACACACAGAAACATGAAGCTGTGAGACCATGTCCAGTAATTATGCTGTTAGTAAAATGGCATGCTGACAACACAAAGCAAGTCATTTTTCAGCAAATACAAAATGACAGGTCAGTCACCCTTCTCCCCTCTGGTACTTACATTGATATCGGTGTGATATATTAGCACACAGAGGGCAGGCAAAATCTGTGGGGAACAAAAAGTAGGTTGTGAGTGGGTTGGTTGTAGGCAGAGGAATAGATGGATCAGATGAAGGCAAAACAGGCAAAAAAATAAAAAATAAAATAAAATCACAAAAGAGAAATAGCTGTCAAACCCAGACTTCAAATGTCGCAAAAGAGCTTTATAGTCAGAAATTCCCCTGGGTGATGAGGCTGATTTGGCTACTGAAAAGGCGCTGCAATAACTCTGTGACTCAGCCTGCAGTGAAACAGTCAACTGCAACACATCCATCTGTCTGGCACATGAAAGCATACACACACACACGCGCAGACACACACACTCACGCATACACACGCACACACACCTCTTGCACGGTCTCCATGGGCGGTGGTGGATCCTTGTTGCGGCAGAGGTTAACAATGACCCAGGTAACATTGCGGAGGAAGGTGATTGGGATTGATGGGTTGATGAAAGAAAGCAGGGGCTTGACCACGCCCAGGGAGATGACATAATCCCTGCACTGTGGACCATCACCTGGGCAGGCAAGGGGCAGAGGTCAACATAAGTCTGCTTCCAAGCTGTGTATGTAGACACTTAAATTAGAGGACTACTATTTACCTATAATGTTTCCTAAAGCCCATACAGCCTGTTCACATACGTTCTGGTGGGGCGAGTGTAGCAGTCGCAGGAACAGGGGCACTGCATCTGGACACACAAACATCAAAGCATCAAAAACTTGTCCAAGGAGACAGATTGTGCAATTCTGTTGATGAGTGATGAGCTCTGTTGCCGGTCACACCCGCCGCCAAAATAAATAAACTCTCGTCCATGAGTATGTCACCATTCCTGTGTATAACAGCTAATCCAGAGCTAAGTATGGGTATCAACAAACATTTGACTGAAACAGAATACGGACTCTGTTCTCGGGAGTCAAAGCATTTCAGGGGAAAAAGATGTTTCACTATTAAAAGATTCCTTTCTAGCGCACATTTAAAGCCTAAACTAGTGTACACTCTAAGATTATTTTCTTTTGGTATTTTTCCTTCCTCTTCTCAGGAATGTGGACAGACAGACAGTGCATGATTAACATCTCCTGATGCACCTCTTTGGGTGGGACAACATTTTGGTGACCTCACTCAATTCCCAGAATATCCACCTATCCTCTACCTAAGCTGAGATCTGATCAGCCAAAATAACTGTAAACACCTGTGTGGGTGATAATCCCTGTTCAGAGAATGTGTGGATATGACATGAGTCAGGTGGCATGAATCTGATGTTTTCGAGTTATTTGAATGTTTGGCCAAAGTTAGCAGGATTATACCCAGACCTTCTTTTCTGTGAACTCAGTTTAGATGTGAATTATTCTTCCTTTCCAATAGAATAATTAAAGATTTTTAAAAGCAATCATTAGCTATTGCTAAGTCATCAAGATTAATGTTTTAAAGATACACACAATATTTAAACACATTTTCCTAAAATAAAAGATCCAATTCAAGTTTAGTTCTACACTAACTTGTGCCGTCTTTGTAACAGCTGGCTATTCACATGAATGCAGCTCATGGTTTCTACTCTCCAGTCATTATGGCTTTGTTTCAAAATAAGAGTGCATAGTTATCTAATAAAAACATAATCCAAAAACATTTCTGACTGCCTCATTGAGTGAAAACACAAATAAATATGCTAGCTCGGCAGACTGCAGACAGTATACAAACATAGACTGCAGGGGTAAGACAGAATGTGGGGTCAACTTACTGGATTTAACCACAGCCTGAGTCTGTGCTGACGTCCCAGAGGCAATGTTGGTCAGAGCCCAAGCTGCCTCAAACTGAAGAGAGGGGCTGTTGGACAAAGAAAAAAAACAAGTTAAGGACATAAAGACGGCTCATTTAGGTTCTACAGTAGAGTGGGAGAGAAAAGGGGGAATAATAATAATAATAATAATAATAATAATAATAAATATTGATGTGAACTGTTCCTGAATTCCCAGCTGCTATTAAGTGTTTTCGAAGGCTGGTTTTTTACCCCCCCAGCACTTAATGCACTTGTCTGTTTTTGGCCTTTCTATAAAGGGCTTTTAGAGCAACATAGCTCAAACCTATTTTAATCAAAAGCGTGTTGCTCACCAGGGCATAGTGGAGTTTTCCATAATTGTTTTTTTAAAACATAGATTCATTATAATGTGAAATCCTAGTGAAAACAGAGTCTATGTAGTGCATAATACATCTGACACCAGATCAGTGGTCTAAATATCTTGCGGTTTGGTGAACTGGGGCTGTGCTCAGAAGGGGGGGGAAGTCATGAAATTACTTATTTTTTTTAAATGATGCAACACAAAATACTAGAAATCACACAGTTGCAAGTGATCCTCACACCGCCCACCAGCCAAATGCTAGTAAATCATAGCAAAGGGTGGTAAGTCTGTCTATCCCACTAAATATTTTATCAGGCAACCAACAATGAACTGCATCTACTGGTTTCTTAAGCTTAAGCCTGGATGTAAAACAGGAAACAGGGCGTGGTGCTCTTTGTGATGGAACCAGCCACTGTGGTTGGTTGCCTGTGGACAGAATTTTTCTGCCATATCACAGATTAAGACTTAATGTCTATTCTTGTTCATGTAAAATTGTGCTCACTTTCATGCTGGGATTCTGTACCTCATCATGTCATTAGGCTGAGCTGGTTTGGCTTTCTGCCATAATGCTATGGCAACAAAGTGGGCTATTTTCTTTTGATTGGTGCACATGGGTTATTTACTGCATTCTGCATGAACTTAATAGAAATGTCCAATATAAGCTGGTGGTCCATGTTAACATGACGCTATCTGTTGTTGGCTGCCATGATAACATTCTTACAACTTCTTCCTTCCAACCTCTACCATCCCAACTATTCATTCCCCCCTCCCCTCAGTGAACACAAGGTCCTGGGAATTGGGGAACTCCGGGGGACAGGAATGCTGTTATATTTGGCATGGCCTGGACTGAGAAGACCAGCCAACTGTCCTGCGCGCCTCCACACTCTCACGTGTGGACACAGTGGGATAGGCACACACTCTCATGCACACAAAGCGTCTGTTGCGGCAAAGACTTGATGTAGCAGTGTCAGTAATCCATCACAGCAGTCCGCAGTATTAACAAGTAGAACATTCTGTTCGTCGCATCAGAGAAAAATAACACTGAAGGCAAGCACAAACAGTTTTGGAGGCAGACTTACTTGTCGTCCCTTTCCAGGCATTTGACTAAAATGGGCAGGATCCCGGATTTTATCAAGTCGTCGATGGGAGGGTTTCTGTCACTCGAGAGCAGTTTTCTGACAAAGGGCAGGAAAAAAATCTCAAGAACTTCATATACAACAAAAAAAGCTGCTGTATTTGTGTGTGTGTTCTGTCTGTAACTCACCTGGCTGCCTGTACAGCACTGAGCTGGATAACTGCATTATCACTGGTAGCGTTCTGTAGGCACAAGGAGTGAAATCCATTATAAATATTAGCACAGTATTTTTAGTCAACAGAGTTTTGGAGCTATTGCCGGTACATTTTACTGTATAATAGAAAGGAGTGTTGTGAACTCTTACCTGTAAGATGGCATCAAGCGTAACATTTTGCTGAACAAAGAGAAATGTAGATGAAGATTAGCACTGTCATAGTCATAATTTGCTGAGCATGTACTGTTATTAAAGGAAACCACTCCAACAACCAACTGCTAAACTGTGCAAAAGAGTATTTTCATTGTGGCATTAGGGTGCAGCAGTGTAACAAGTAAACATTTTGTATCTCATGCTGCTCAGATATTATTTTCACACTGTAGTATGTTGTAGTATGATGGATTCAACAGATGTCAGGTGACTTATGGATGTTTTAAATACTTTTGTAGCATAACAAACAAAACAAACTTCACAATACCAAATTTGACTGAGATTTTAACAGCTTCCCCACAGCATCTTGTGTCTGACAGGAAAATTTGTGATGCAGAATATGCAAATAGCTTGGTGGCTTTCAACTGAGACAATGAAGGAAATAACAATGAGCTGCACCCTCTACTTTCCCTGAAGTGTCTTTGCTTGTGACTCCAATAGGTGCTAGCTGACCCCACCTCCAGGCTTGTTTCAGTATCAAGTGATACTAGGGATTTCTGTCAAAATCGTAAGATAACCCTGAACAAACAATGATAGTATTAGCTTTCAATCACAGCTCCCATGAGAGTATGACACGCACTGTGGCACACAGTCATCCTGTTTTTGATCAGTGCTTTCCTTTCTCACTGATGCTGCTGTGGGCCACAAATTAAGGCCGCAACTTCAGTATGTGATTAAAATGCGCAGATTGGTTTACTCTGCAGGCCATCCCTCATCATTTCATTATCCTACTCAAACAACGTCATCAGAAGTCAGTGGGTTTATAGATATTTTGGACAGTATATTCCTACACTCTGCTGACATACAGCATACTATATTATGAGGTGAAACTAGAAGGCCCAATGAAATGCCAGTATAGCTTTTTTACAAAGCACAGACTTTATTAGCCAGGATATATTGTACATAAAGCACAAAACTCCCCAAAAAAAACCCTTACATCGTTGAGAGAATAAGACGGTGAATTCACACAAATTGCAAGAGATATTTTTATATGTACGCCTTCTTCTTTTGTTTTATCTATTTTAGTTTTAAGATATATTTCTATCAGATGTCTAGTGCCAGCCCAGTTCAATGGAGGTTGATGATATTTAATTTGTGTTTAAAGCTAGGAATAATAATCCACAGAACATGCCATCTGCAGTTTTATAAATATACATTTTTAGCTTCTCAGGGTGGTGGCAGAGGTTTCAGCAGCAGATATTACAAAACTAAAAATCTGAATGGACAGACTCAATAAGGTAAAAGGAAATGACAAAATTAACTCACCAACCCCACCATCTTCCTAACATATCACATAATCACCCTCACCAGATGGAGGTTACCCAGTTCTCATGGAATTGTAAATGTTCAAATTTTCACTTCTAAATCTACCATGACAACTGGGAAAACTCCATCTGCTGAGGAAGAACGTATAATGTGGCTGAAAGCACCAGAACAGCTACTAAATAAACCTTGGTGGTGTTTTTGAATGTCAGATGCTGTTTCCAAGATCAAGAATGAACTTTCAATCTCAACTAAAGAGAAATTGTTTTTGTAATCTGGGTGAATTGGCCTATTTGATGTTTGGAATAATAAATATTAGTAACAGAAAACAATCATAACATGACAACACACTGAGATTTAATTTGCACTGTAAATGCTTTTATTTGGGAGGAAATCCCAGTAGGAAATCAACATTTTATTCCAACTAAAGGTGTTTAGCTACTGTTTCTAGTTTGTATCTTACACAGTTTGAAAAGATTTTGTCCAATTGATGCATTATCCAGACAGTCCGGTCTCACTTCATCTTTCTCACTCAAACACATACACACACACCCACACTTACTCCTTTGAAGTCTGAGTCGACATCAGAGTCCTCCAGACTCTCCTCCTGCGGGACATTTCTCTTCTTCAGTAGATGTTCGTCTCGTTTGTTCTGACAAGAGGGGTAAAAAGGACAGAAAAGCAATGAGGGGAGGAGATGAAAGTTTTCATTAATACATTCGTGAATTCTTTAAGCAACAGTGGATTGAGGTCTACCTCAAAAACTTTTTTTCCCCCCCCAAACTTTTACTTTCAGGAGTGTAACCTAGATGTTAGAAATCCCACTCCAAGTGGGTACATGACAGAAATCTGCCTGCAGTATAGTCTGCAAAGCAAACACACACTCTGAACACTGAACCTTAACCCTCATCACACTGTGCAACCCTCCGGCAAGCACCCATTAATTCACAGTGGAATACAGAGACACCCAGGTCCATACAGAGAGGCAGAAGACCCACACATCCTATCGATACAGGACATGTGAGTCAGTGGTAGGAGGAGATTCCCTTGCCCTACATTCCTGAGCATCATGCTGATGTGCGTCACTGATGACTAATCAGCTAGTGCAGTGCTTCTTGCTGCTCTGATCCAGCTAAATGGAATGTGCTAGACTTGAGAACACCTCAGCACCCCATAGCAGTGACGTTCTCCAAAACGTCTGCTGATGGTTGTGCTGCTCTACATGACTGTTTATAAATATTATTAAGACTTCATCTGGAAGCACAATGCTACAGTGTCCCATGTGTTTCACTTATTAGAATAACCAGTTCAGATCGCCCTGTACCAAGTCATGAATCTGTCCATCGTCTAAATGTTTATCTCAAAATATGTTGTTTACATGCTGGGATTTTCACTGTCACAGCTTTACAGAGCAAATACTTAGGTTCATTTAAATTTCTATTATTTTGTCTGCCACCCAGTTCCTAGAACCAGAGGGCACCTTCCTCTTCCACTACCCACGTTTGCCTTTCCTATTCCAGGAGACTAAGAGGGAACTCTGAATGATATATGGCTCAACAAATGACAACAGCTTTATGTGGGCCAAATTTATCATTAAGACAATGGATAAACTCCTACTAAAAAGATTTTTAGAGGAACACCACTACTCAGTTTGGACTTAATAGCAGTCACTGATGACTGAGCCATACTGATTGTGTTGGTACTGTAATCCTCCAAGCTTTTATACTTCTGAAAAAAGGTACATAAACTGATCTACTCTTCTGTTACAAACCCAAATCAGTCTCCAACTGTGAGTGAAAATCAACTTCAGAGCCATCAGCGAGTTAAAAAGATCTGTGACAGAACTGATTTTCCAGTATAAAAATAGCACGCAAAGACAATGCAACACTTCATTTAAAAGCTATTAAAACGTAACTCCTGTTAAACAGTATTCAAATCTTCAAGACACATAACTTCCCTTAGAAACAGTTTTTGTCTGAAGACAGAGTGGTTTATTCCAGGGATTTCAACTGACCACTCCACAACCCACACCTGGAATCCAGGAGCTAACACTGATCCTACCAAGATGCTGAGGATCTGTTTCCAGAATATGACGATTTGAACACTGAATAAGCTTCTTGTTTCCAAGTGAGTTTTGTTCACAGTTCTAACCAGAAAGAAAGACGGACAGACAAAAAGATCCCACCAGGCACTGTCTAGACTCACTTCCTTCTGACTGTGGAGACTTGTTTACATACAGATTATACTCACCAAAACTAACATAAAACGTGACTTGTATTGCAGGGTGAAGTTTTGCTTTAATTATCAGCCTTCGTACAAAACTTAAACATGCCCTGCTACAAAAACAATGTTTATCTTTACACAAGTTATAGCTGAGCAACAGCAAATGACCTGAGAAAAGAATACTTGGTCAGGTGAAAAAACAACTACCATCAGATTAAGGGCCCTTTGCAGGATATAGGCAAGGATGTATCAGAGTGAAAATCAAGTGAAAATGACAGTAACATAGTTTTAACACTTGAGCCAGGTTACAGATAGCTGGGGAACTCTAACTGGTTCTTTAATATTTGACAAAATGTTATCAAAAGATGCAACAAAAGCCCAACATACCAGAGTGATGGTAAGAATTACGTGGGGACAAAAATGTTATTCAAGGCGTACCATGTCATCTATGAAACATGGTGGTGGTGTTAGTGCATGTGCATGTATGGGTGCAAGTGGTTCACACGTGGCTTGTTCTCTAGCAAACACGGGTATTGACTGACTCTATTTACAGCGCAATGCAGTTTAAGTTTAGAAAGTGAGTTTTGTAAGCAAACTTAATCAGCTGTAGCCAATTAATCTTGATTCTTTCCATTTGCAAAAGGACAAAATGAATCTGACTGTCATGTGGCTAATGTGCTGTCTGTATAGCAGTATCTGTACTGCTTAGCCAAAGATGGTTTCCTAGGGAAAGAAACACACTCAACTATCAACCATATACTCTATATGAAATGATAAAGCTTTGCTGTCAAAGTAACAACAAAGTCTGTTAATAAACATCTCATCATTTATAGACTGTAAAGTACAAATGGCCGACAACTGGCAGATACATTTTTCATCAACAATGAATTAAACAGCTTATATATATTCTATAGCTAAAACTATTTTGTATGCCCTGTATGGCTGCCTACTAATGTCCAACTCCACTTGTCTGGACAGACAGAGGTCTGGTGTATCTGAGTGTAGACAGACGGTGAATCTTTTTCTTACCTTTCTCAACTCAACTGTCACCTCATTTCGATGTCTTCTCATAGTCTGTAAAAAAAGAAACAAAAATAAAGACAGTAAATCAGAAATCATTTGCTTTTTGACATTTTCCAGAGATAAAACCATTTATTGCAGTGGGAAATATAGGCTACATTGCGGATAAGAAAATGACCTAATAAATCACAAAATACCATGAACAAAAGAGATCAAATTGCCCACCCTCCCCTTAGTGTGAAGGAGAAACTATGGTGACCAAGAAACTTGTAAAAATGCCAAAAAGTCCCATCTAGAGCCAGTGTTTGGTTTGTCCATTCTGGGCTACTGTAGAAACAAATGGTTGGTTCAACATGGCAGACTCAGTGCAAGAGGACCCGCCTTCTCTGTAGATATAAAAAAGGCTCATTCTAAGGTAACAAAAGCACAATTCTTACCATCAGGTAATTTTACACTACTGAAAGATTTCTTCCAATTTCTTCCATTTCTGGTCTTTAAAAATGACAAAACTTCAACAACACTGGGCATGTAGATCACTTTTTTATCAATTTAGGCATGAATCTGTGACTTAATTCTAAAACAGAAACCACCACCAACACATTTGATCTATTAAACAACTCAAAAGCAGCACAAGTGAGTAAAAACTTTAACTTTATTTGTGTGTCTGTTGGGTTTCCAGTTCATCCTGAACAGTTTGAGATGGTCTACGATCTTGTGACTGTTTGAAGAGGTTCATGTTGCTTTCCTAAATAGCCTCTTGCGTAATCTGGGACAGTCATAACTCAGGAGGCTGCGGAGCGGAGAGGTGTCTCCCTAAACACTGCAAAACAACAATACCACTGCACTGACCCATACAAAAATTTCCCTTTACAGACAGCTGAACATCTAAATACAATACTCCAGCTTAACAAGAACAATGAATGCAGCCCAGTACATTTAAATGAGTTTATTTAGCCTAATTCTGTTGGTTGCTGTACCCAAAATATGAACTGTTCCTAAAAGAACATACACCTACAAAGACGCAGTAGCCCATAGAGGCACCACAGTTAATACTCAAAACTTTTATGAAACCTGCAATTCTGCAAGACAAGAAAGACATGATATTTTTGGGGTAAAAAAAAGCTTCAATCTAAACTATAAGCACGTTATATATGATATCCAGGAAACAAAGGAGAACTTATGACGTGCTGCAGCATGTTGGACTTTACTGCTTTGCAATTCAAAGCTGTTCCTAATGATGTCAGTTATGAAGAACAATCTGTTATGCCTGACCTAAATAAATAAAACTCAAACTGGCATTTTTTTCCCCCTGCTGTAGGCTGAGTCATCCATTTAGGAAAACTCAAATTCACGCAGACGCTCTTAAGAGGACCCAGGTCAGACATCCAAGATGCCTGAAATAGCATCAGGAATGCACTTGGCAGAGACTGTCTGTCATAGTAGCCATGTGCTTGTCATACTGACTCTAAGTTTCAAAACAACCACCTATGGGGCATCAATCTGTGCTTTTAGGCAGATGATGATGGTGCTCCAATCCCTGGTGGATTGTGAAGGGCCGTTCCCAGGCATACTTTTCTCTTTTTGTTGGTAAACAGCTGAGAAAGTTGCATTTTGATAAATGACATAGCATAATGTACTGAACCAGACTATGTATCTGTTACTTCTCCCTTTGGTCCAACACTGTTTCTTCTTTTCTTGGCTTGTCTGAACACAGCCTTTGCCAAATGGTTTGGTCATCATGTCAACGAGCATTACAGACAAATGCAGTCACAGAGATTTATAATTAGACTTGTTGGTTGAATGATGCTGCAATTCCCAGCGTTTTAGACGACAGTGGACTCGCCAGTAGGGCACACACCATAACGGTGGTGGTTTTATCCCCAACTTTAACGTTAATATAGCTTGGCAAAATGTCTAAGTAACTATAACCATTAAGAAATGTGAGAGGTGACATTACCGCGTTACGTTAGTTAGACCAAGTTATAATTAATAGTGCTGCTAGCTCAATGTTACCTTAAGTGCCTATTTCCCAATGATGGATCCTAACTCACACAGTGGACAGTTTTTAGCCAGCAGCACATTTGTTCCGTTTTTCACCTCAAAGTAGATTGTAAAACCAGGGTCGTCGCATCCTTACCATTCAGCAACCTGTGTAGTGGCTTAGCAAGCAGCTCGGTTTAGCTGGCTCACCTGGCATTACATGCTAGCTACTCGCCTGACAACGTTAGCAAGCTAACAAGGAGGGGCAATGTTTGGTTAGGGTGGACGTGGAGCAACCATGTAATTCAACCCAAACCGATGTTTTACGAACAATGACAAATGTATGAGACGTTCGCAAGTTAGCATTGATGTTACTGAAGGTCAGCTGGCTGTAAAACACAGCAAATGTCAAGATTATGGTGCCGGGCAGGCCCAGCCTCGCTTACGACCGGTGTCCATCCAACTAGCTAGTTAACGTTAGCTGGCAGTGACAGCTACATCGCCTGCCTTTAATTCTCCCAATTACAGCGTCCAACTGTGATGTTACTTACTCTCTACAAACATTAACTACTGGGTATCGGTAGGCCACTGGTGTTAACGGGATACATATAACAAAAAAACGCGTAATTACGGTAGAAATACACCGTTATATCAAGATAGGCCAGTAGGCACTTCTGATGGCGAACTCTTAACGATAGCTTACATTAGCTAGCTAGCTAGCTAGCTAGCTGGCAGCTGCAGCCGGGGCCAGGCTCCCCAACGAGGCCCAAAGACTGTCGTTTTCTACGTTAAACCAGATCGATTCATGTGTATTACACTCGCGTTTATATGTCCGCTCACCTCGACATCTCGTCCCTTATTTTTAAAGCTCTTGATGCGGTGGTTTTCCAAGCCGGCGTTTTCTGCCATGGCTGTATGGGGTTTGGCTATTACTCCGGCTTTCGGGATCTCCTCCGTGTTAAGACGAGGCACGGCAGCTCCTGTGCTGCTGCTGGCTCCGGAGAGGGGGAGGAGGACGTAACACAACGCAGAGTGAGGGGAGGAGTTAATGCATGCCTCCTGCATGGGCTGTCCTGGTTTCCACGGCTTTCTCGACGCAGTAATAATAAATTCACCTTGGACATGTATTAATGTCCACCACCATGAAAGCTGTGCGGGGGGACAGCGACGATGATAGATACTTTAAAACATGACACGACTCTGAGAAAAGTATGCCTCCAAACACAAAAGTTTAATGAATCAACAATATTTGTATTTGCTTGTACAATAAACATCATTAGTGCAAACAAAGACAAGCATTTGAAATATCTGACAGTCACACTTCAGCAGCGGATATGCAATGCCAATACAACACAACAGATTGACATTTTTATTTTATTTTAACCATATATCTCTAACCAGAGATAGCCAGCACCAGCTCTAGTAATATTCTGATATTTTAAAATAAAATACACAAAATAAAAAAATAAAAAGATTTCAGGAAGAGAAAAGTGTGGGGGGAAATAAAAAGGCTGTTTTAATACATTTTGGTGTTTGCTATTTAAGAAATATTTCACTTAATAAAACATTTTCCAGCACCATCACCTCAGTGAAAAGTCAACCTCAGACACTGGCTGTCCCCTGGAATGTGCACTTGGGTACTGGAGTTGGTATTTTAAGCCATCTCTGTCAACTCAAATTATAACAGTGACATGAATTAAGAAGTGTTGTAATGTTTTTAAATTGTTTTAATTATTGAAAAAAGGCAACATAAAAGTGCTTGGGATGTTGTTGACTCATGTGTCAGTCTCTTTCAAACTCTTACTGACCAAAACATGCTTTGATAAACCAAAAGAGACACATCACTTTGATCTGTGACTCAAATAAATACAAATAAATAAAGGGCGTATGCTGGGATGTCAGTATGGCATTTAGGAAATTAAACATTCAAAAAACTTAAGTATAAAGTGATGTCAACAAAAACATGGCTCCTGATCCTGAAAAATGGGGACATATTACAATTAGACCAACTGTCTGGCATCTACACACAGATTGAAAATGTAAGCGGCAATTGATAGTGTTTAAGTTAATACAGGGTGATTACCACCGACACCAGGTAATGATTGGACAGTTTTGCCATCGACCCAAACAGCCCATCATAGCTGACTACTGATCATAAATCCCCACTCCTTTAAAAAAAAAAAAAAAAAAAGGACACGCCAACATCATTCCAGAGCAGCAGCAGAGAGACAGAGTAATTACGGGAAATAAAACAAGAGGCATTTAAGCCACACATTATGATTTTATCCGATCAAGGTCAAACTGTAGTGTCACAGAGGTTGCTATGAGATATAGGGGAGTATGACAACATAAAGCAGGGCTGAGGCTGAAGTGCTCCATTAGAAGATTTGTTGTTCAAAGAGGATCTTCTCAAATCCTTGAGGAGCTGTGTGATAGAAGTCACTAAACTGGCAGTCTAAGATGGCACTGTCATCCACTGGAACAAAAGAAGAGAAATACATTGTATACATGTTAACCTGTTAAAACAGACATTTCCTATTAGCAAGTTTCATCACATTTATTATGCATATCCCTGTTTCAGTATGTATTAAAGTTAATGTACATTAAGTCAAACATTCAAACCCAAGATCCAAGATTGGTTGCAGCGTTAAATCAAATGACGGGTAAATGAAAGTCACACATACCATGGTTTCATACATACGACCCCATTAAACATTTTGTTTATTATATTTTTAAGTCAAAACCGTACATGTACCCAGGACTCCCCGGAAAGCCCTTCTGATACTGAGTTTATTAGAATCTGAATCAGAATCACTTTATTGATCCCTGGCGGGAAATTGGTGAAATAAAATCCAATGAAGTTAATGATGTCACGTCTTACTCAGGAACAAAAAATGTAATAAATAGTAAACATTAATTTTTCCAGTTTATTCAGCAAAGCTAGTTGTTCTGCAGAAATCAGGTCGGATGCCTTCTAACAGCAACTATTTTAACATAATCTCTGAACGTACAATGTTATGTTTTGTATAAGCTCGCTAATACTGAAGTCTTTGGGTGCCGGAATGTTATTAACTCAACTTTAGCTTGGAATTCACAGTTAGCACGGTGATTGACTAATCTTATAAATCGGTTCTCAGCATCACCTCCGGACTAAACACTTTCCCAAGAAAACTACAGAAACTTACAGTGGCAACAAACTCACTGGGAAAAGGTATGAGGTGTAGATAAGACAGAGAGGACATTGTTGTAGATTACAATATAATAAAGCAATCATCTGTCTGTCTAAAAATACAAATAAAAATCTATATTTTATGGCCTCATTTGGTTAACAGCTTTATTCAGAAACATAACAGGTTAACACAGTATTCTTATGGAAAAGAGAGAATGGAGCATGTCCCTATTTTCACTGGGGATGTCAGTTTATGTGAATGCTTATTAGAAAATAGTAAAGTAACAATATTAACAGCTAAAAATGTCTTGCCCTTTAAACATGAATAATGTTACTTTACATATACAACAGAACAAATTATAAATTAATTAATGGGAAAGTTTGAGATAATATCTATTAAGGCATCTGGGGTGACTTTCTGATCACATGGATCTCTATGAAATATTAACAGTTTTAAAAAGAAACGAAGCTCAGACAAATGAGTCACTAGTTCTTCTGCATTAGTGATACTCTATGACAGAAACAGGCAAAGCTGCCACTAAGTACCAAAAGTTTTCAAAGGCCAATTGATTTTACAGACGAGCCAGTCAATGAAATGATCTGCTGTAACCTTGGAGCAGAATAAGACTAGCATGTCTTGCTCCTGCCACTCCCTGCTAAAGTCTTTGTTTTTTAGCTTTAGCTTTGATTAGTCCACATTGCTCCCTCTTGGATGTGTGGAATGTGTTTGCGGTCAAATATGCAAATTAAAAAATATGCTTTTAAGTACAACAAACATCCTGACCTCAGCAGTGTTATGTAAAAATGTACAAATACAGCCCTCTAGTGGAATAAAGTTGTAACTGTCATAATGGTATTTCTGAGAAAGCAGTCAATAATGTTGACATAACAATAATTGACAAACCTCGGTAAACTAGTCAGCATATGAAGCTAACAAATAAACGGGGGCACCCTGATAGCTTACCTGGTAGAGCTGGAGCCCCATGTACCATGGCTGAGTCCTGACTGCAGGGCCAGGGGTCGACTCCGACCTCTGACCTGTTATCACCTTTCTCTCTGTCCCCCTCCCCCCTTCCTGTCAATCCTCAGCTGTTGACATCAATTAAAAAAGGCAATAAACCCCCCCCCGCTATACATATAAATAAACTTACCATAAACAACAGGGTACACAGTGCCTCGGATCCCTGAGGCAGGACAATGCATGTTCTTTCCATTCAGATATAAATTCAGCTCCACATGGTCGTATGTGATGCCCTGAGGAACAGAAACAAAAGTGGAATGTAATTGCTGCTTTTGCATGTGAATATGATGACACATTTCAACCTGTTTTAATTGTCAAACATGTGAAGCCTGGCTATTCAAAGTCTGTGAGTATTACCTAAAGATAAGCATTTCCCATTTTCAGGCAACCAAAGTCAAGAGGAGCAAGTAGTGTGGAAAAACAACAAAGTATGCATATGTTTGTATCTCTCAGTGTTCTTTGCTGTCCTTTACTTCTTGCAGTTACACTTTTTCCTACTGGATCATAATGACTTGAGCTTAAATGATCACTATATAATTTCCTGGTCATTGTCCCAGGAATAAGTGATAAAGTGACCGGATATTAATGTATATGTGTTTTGCACAGTGCTCATGACCCTGCAGGTTATGAGTCATAAACTGTGTTCAATCACTCATTAACAGTGAGTGGACCAACCACATATCTCCTGCAATTTGACATAAATACACTGTAAACTGTATATCTGCATGCATGCGTCACTCAGTGGTGGTGTTTTATACTTTTTACCATTATGCAAATCAGTTTAAAACCAGTCAACCTTCTTGTTCAGCTGTGTTATTACAGTAAAACATGCAGATACATGTTGGATGGCTTTGAGTGTTTTTTTAAAGATATTATTGTACACCAGGCAATATGCAAAACAAACACAAACAGTATCACATACAGTATATATTGTAGTTGATCGTGAGTGTCACAAGGTAACACAATATAGTATTTCCATATCCTGTACATAAGCCCCCAGCAGTGGGAAAGCTATAACTGAACCCAAATGAGCAAGTATCACTCAGTTTAGACTGTGATAACATGGTTTTACTATCTGGCAGATTGGCTGAACTGAATTTGGTGATAAAAATACCCTTTGTCTTGAGAAAAATAATTATCTTGACTTAAGTGTATTCCTGCACAATCACCCGGGTTACAGTATAAGTTCATCTGCATGTCTTCTTTCTTCCGTCTAAGTAATTGTATGTGTCACTCTTTTTAGGAAATCATTTTCCACAACATTTCCAGGAGTTTTTATTGACAATACAGGACAGTACTTGCTTATGGTCATATAAATTACCGGTAGAACTAGTATTGACACATTTAATTCCAGTTTTGGTGGAGTCAAGTGTCATCCTGAGCTATACTGACAGTTGAGTTTCAAACCAAATACACTCCCAGGTTTATGAAGGTGATCTGAGTGAGGGGCAAATATACTATTAAAATTTTCCAGGCCATTTGTCATTTTAATCTAGTTCCAGGTGTTTCTAAGACTGGAAAACTAGTCTGCAAATTTCCATGTTTTCCAGGAAGTGTGGGAACCCTGATGTGTGTTGGTGGTCGGGTCTCTGTAGTACAGCTCATATAAATACAGTACTACCACTAAAGGACTAAAGGGGTCGCCAAAGTCACTAAGTTTTAAGTTCCGGTAGTCATAGGTTTAAGGTCGTTTGGTCTCTTCTTCAGAAAGACCATACTTTCATAAAATGAGCATGACTAGGCATAAGGCATTTTAGATTTGTTTTATTATGTCAGATAAAATTTGTCAAACACTAGTTTGTGCAGATAATGACATGCTGCCTGACAGTGACAGATAGAGTCCTGTATGTGTTTTAAAACAGCACCCGCTCGCCCCCGCAGTATTTTCTGCTGCACCAGCCCACTCCTGCAATCTGCAATATTATATTTTAGAAAAGTCCAAAAAGAAGAGTCCTCAAAGACAAAGTTTGTAAAAAAAAAATCTGTTACGATTTATACGGCAAATAGCAATTTGGTGCACATGTGGCAAACCACAAAGAGAACGCTATCCAGCCCATATTAGACCATGTGACTATCAATGTCAGCCAGCTGCCTCGGGAAAAAAACCCCCACAAAACCAAATTCTGCTGTGGATCTCACGGGACCTGCCGGCCAGACTGCTCCAGCAGGCCTCTAGCAGATGATTAGTCTGAAGGGGTTGATTAAAGCTGTAAATACTCACAATCTATATACAAGTGAGATAACTCACTATGTGCACAGACTCAACTGATTAAATAAAGTTATCTCAGCAACCTTTGATCTACAAGAAATCATTTGAACCCCCATCGAAACCGACTGGCCCCCTCAAAGATTAGGTCATCACACTTAAAATTCAGGATCAGGTAAATAAATGTTGCACTTACCACAATGTCCCCCTCCTGAGGAAGGCTGTTGGCAGGTAGGCGATTCTTCTCTTCATTATTGTGGTACACAGACCCATCATGCCTCAGGACTAGGCTGTTTGTGTCTCTGCCCAAAGGCACTTGATTAAGATTCACTTTCTGTGTAGCCACACCGATACCCCACACACCTTAACACAAAGCACAGCACTGAGTATTTGTTGTTCTAAAACACTATTTTAAACACAAAGACTAACATGTATTTATATTGATGATAAAGGCCAGCTGCTAAATGAATAGGCAAGTGCATAGCACATTTGGAAATAGAGTTAAAACAGAAGCTAGTGTGGAGCCACATGATCGTGGTTCAAGGTCATATACGTACGAAAGCCAATTTCTGTCACTGTCTTTGTTAGTGAACAGAAATCCATCAGTGAGCATGCAGTCACAAGATGGTGTAGCTACTAAAAACAGCAGCGTGTCTGTGTCAATAACTCCCGCTAGGAATGCACCAGAAAATGCCAATCTGGCAGGGAAGGATGGAAAGTAGCTACAAATCAAATGCTTACCAGTGGACTGGATCTTAAACTCAAAATAACTTTTGTTCTGGTGCAGAGGAGCGTTGGCCAGACAGCCTCCAGTGCCACATATCCTCCGGCCACTCTTTACAATGACAACGTCCGTGCCTGCAACACAAAGGCAAGAATACATTTGGTCGTAAAAACACATTATAAATTCATGAAACTAACTTTATGACTATTTCCTCGTCAATTAATCTGCAAATATCTAATTATTTTGTTGATTGATCAGTTGTTTAGTCCATATAAAAGCGGCAAATAGTAAAACTTTTTTACACTATTTTGCTTCAAAGGGCTTGTTTTGTCTAACCGAAAATCTAAAAATCTTCAATTTGCAACCATAAAGGTGAGACAAAGCAACAAATCCTCACATCTGAGACACTGGAAAGAGTTCTGCTTGATAAAAGACTAACGATTTAACAGATTATGAAAACGGTTGAAGAGTAATTTTTGTGGATTGATTAATCGATTAATCATTTCAGCACTCAGCCAAAGGTTTATTGAATTCACTATTAAAGGTCAGTTATTGGCCATTTCAACAGACTGTAAACCAGTTGTTGTATTTGAATACTGACAATAAACACTTCTTGTTGTATAAAGTTAATATTATATAAGCAATATCACAACTAGTTTGGTTGTCAGATGTGATCCAGTATGCAATCTTCCAGCACATTAGCTGAGAAAAAGACTTTCAGCTAGGTAGGAGACACCTTGTGTGCAATAGTTACACATTTTAAATGAAAAATATGTGCATACTGATACCCGCTGGGCTACAGGCAGAGGGGATTTATTTTTAGATTTTTAAAGAGGTAACTGAGCTGGTTTGTCGATTCAATTATCACACAAATTATAATTCAAAGCACTGTACTTTTAAATATCCTAAAACATATGTGGAGGGGATTTTACAGTTCAGTATGTGAAAGAAATGGGCAATGTTAATCCCGATGTCACGAGTTGCCCTGTCCATTGTTGTGTTACCGTCCAGACCCACTATATGTAACAAAGTGAAACCCTTATAGCAAGTATATGAAGTGGGGATGTTAGAAAACCCAGCTGTAACCGCTACATTACACCAAAAACACATTTCATTACATAGGCTACAGCAGCCCTAGCAGCTAGTTAGCTAGCTAATGGTAACAGCGGAAGTATCAAAGTGTCACACACACACACGCAGCACACTGGGCGGGTGTACGTGTACCGCCCGCACACCCCGCTGTGACCGCCGGACACTTACCCATGTGGTGGGTATCTAATTGCACCGTGGGCATCTCTTTCAGAGGAATATGCCCCGGTCCGCCATCTCCGCAGCAGCCTAGACAACACGTAAACATCGCAGCCATCCTGATACTGGCTAAACATCCGGAAACAAACTCATACCATCAAAACCAAAGAGTGCCTGGCGTTGAGACGTCAACCCCCCCCCCACCTCCCCTCCCCTAACGCAACAGCGACACACCGCGGCAGAGCCCGGAGCTGCATAAGCCCCTGCTACCCCCACTGTATCCAATCACAGCGGCTAAGATAGGCAGTTGCTCCTGATGGCATGGAAACAAGGGAAGAAAATCAAGGTCAAAATTTCTACACGTGACTAAGTAACTATTGGGTATCGATGTTACATAACCAAACATGAAGAGAAAGTGAGTTTTGGGACAATCTATCAAATGTTTCGCGGTTTTAATGCTGATTTTGCCGTTCATCAGCGAAGAGCATCCCGCAGAGGTTGATTTCATATGGCTGAGATATTAAGGCAATACAGAAACGCTGATGTACGGTGTCTCTGTTCGTCCAGGCGCTAAAAATAAAGCGCCACTCGTCTGCTCAGTGCGACATTTGTGCGCATTGAAGTTTACTTTTCATATGAGTTGACGCAGTTGTGCGCCGTCATTTGCAGCTTTTTTCTTTCCCTTTATCGTGTTAACTGTTTACAGCTGCACATATTGACAAGTACCCAGACGAGCGCCTGAAGTGGGGCAGTATAAAAACCCCGTGATGCAAAGCTGGGACTAAAACCTAGTTGACAGTTTTTCACGCTGTAATGTTTTGCATAGCAACAGCCCCTCCCCCATCCGACAGCCAGGGATCTCCTGCAACTTACCCACTGTCACAAAAAACGTAAACACCCCAATGATCAGACTTTAGCCGCAAAAACACTCAAAATACGGAGCTGCTTTCATCTCGGCGGCGTTTTTAGTGCACGTGCTGATTTACACGTGCGCAAACACAGACCAATGTGTCCATTTTAATTTCCTGTGCGCCGCCGAAACGGTTAACTCTTTACCCGGAAAGGGCGAAGTCTGCACAGCAACAAGCGCCATGATTGCGTTGCACTGTGCGCCTCAGCAGCTGGTGAGTGATTCTTTTGGTCCAGTAGTTGCATGTTACTATGCGCTTGCAAAATCTGTCACAGCCTCACTTCAGTACCTTGCCAACAGGAGCAACGCTAACGCCAACCCTGTTTGTCGATAATTTGTCGCATTGGATTGGTTAGACGGCGGCAATTCAGGGCTCAGCTCAGCTAACCACTGTTCTGCTTCCCTGCGATTCAAAAGCTAGGAGAAAATAGTTTGATTTTTTTTTTTTATAATCTGCGTCTGTAAAGTTGTTGAAGCTTTTTTTTGTATTAACCAGTCTTTGGTTTTGTTCGCGGTTTTCAAGTTTCTTCCAACGCCAGCCGGCTACAGAGAGACATCATACAGAGCAGGATGTTGTTTAACGTTATGTGGGCAAACGGAGGCTTTGGCAGAGCTCATGCCAACCTTTTACGCGAGCACAGCGTTGCAAGTCAGTTTCACTTTCAGGATGGGAATACTCCAGACACAGCTGGAACATGACTGCACAAAAAAACCTGTATCCTTTGCGATGCTACAGCATTTTTTTCCGTGTGTAATGTATTGCCTGTGCCGCCTTATGGGGCAGCAGTGTGGGTGCGTATTGTGTAGCCTGATTTATTAAGTGCTGATTTATTGGGTGTTCTGTACGTACTTGAAGCACCGATTTGACGCCTGGATAATGTGTTTGCAGGATACCATGGAGCAGCTAGAAGAGGAACTTACGTGTCCAGTCTGCTGCGGTCTCTTCGAAGACCCTCGGGTTTTGCTGTGCTCACACAGCTTTTGCAAGAAATGCTTGGAGGGACTCTTGGAGGGGAACCGAGGTCCCGCTTTCAGAACCCCTTTGAAATGCCCAGCATGCCGCAAAGAGACCCCTCACAATGGCGCAAACAGCCTGCAGATCAACTACTCTCTACGCGGAATAGTGGAGAAGTACAGCAAAATAAGGGTTATGCCTAAGATGTCTGTTTGTAAACAACACTGCAGCCAGCCTCTAAACATATTTTGCGCAACGGACTTAAAACTAATTTGTGGCTTTTGCGCAACAACAGATGACCACAAAGGGCATAAATTCTGCTCCTTAGAAGAGGCATATGAACGAGAGAAGGAGGCGTTTGAAGAGCTGCTTCGTGGGGTGGAGAGCTGGCAGAGCGCAGACATCCTGTCCTGCCTGGAGACACTACAAGCCAGTAAGAAAAAGGCGCTTCAGTCGGTGACCAAGGACGCAGAAAAGGTAACCGACTATTTCGACAAACTCATCAGTGGCCTTGAATGCAAAAAGAATGAGATCCTCTCCGATTTCGAAACACTGAAGCTGGTGGTGTTGCAAGCATACGACCCGGAGATCAGCAAGCTGAGCGCAGCGATGGAGGAGCACAGACGGGCGCTCAGCATCGCTGAGTCTTTCAGGAGCGTCTCCGACCCCCTGTGCTTTCTGCAGCAGATGCAGGAGTTTCGGGAGAAACTGGGGGTCCTTAAGGAGACTCTCCTGCCCTCTCAGAAAGACATGGACGTCGGTCCACTTGTGCGCAATTTCGATGTCAAAAAGTGGGACTCACTGAGGCTCAGAGAAGTGGACAAGATCTCGGTCCCCCACGAGAATGGCTCCTACCGAACGGGGGGCTCACGGATGACAGCGCCGAGATGGATCACCTTATTTCTGAGTTTGTTGCTGCCGACCTGTCTCCTGCTGCAGCTGCACAACCTTGCAGCCTACGTGCCTTCGCAGGTTGAACCATTTCTCACTACAGTTTCCTCGCACCTCGCTCACACTGGCGTCTACCTGCGGGAAATGACTGACGTGTGCACAAGTTTAATGGGTGCAGGTCAGGATTGTGTGGTGAACCTAATTGACTCTACTGTCAATTTTATTGGCAGTTGTAAGTTGTTTAATTATTAGCCTGTGGCATCTCTGCCACACACTCACAGCTACAAATGATCCATGTCACCCGTGAGGTGCATTAAACTAGTGACGGATATGCACATGTTTATTTACTATGTCTTTTGTTTTTGCCCTTTTTTTTGTGCCAAATCTATACCTCAATGAAGCCATAGAATCAAACAGAATCAATCCTTTATCCACTGAGATTGTATCCTACATTTACATCAGATAGACACTAAATCCACATTTCGAATCTATTTTCTCTCTTTTTTAAAAATACTAAATGACACATTTTTTTTTACTTGTCCATGATGATCTTGCAAAAATAAAACTGAGAAATGTAAGTCACTTCCATGTTTGTTTTTATTTAGCGCGACTGGCCAGGTCAGCCAACTATTTAGTAACATAAACTGGCCTATGAACTAAAGCAAGTGAGCAATAAAAATAAATGTACAGTGTAATCTCTGGCCTCCTCCCCGCAGAGCGCGTCCGCACCACAGTGATGCTGCAACCTCTTCAAGGTTACAAACGTTTCATAACAGGGCCCGTGTGAAATATTCACCAGGCTGCAGACCACAGTGTGAGAGGAGGATGGGGGGAAACACACTGTAGTGTTATTGTGACGTTTTCATGAAACCAAACTACAAACTGACAGCTGTGTTTCCTCTCCCTGTGATCATTAAACACGGGCTAGAGTGCATGATTGTCACGCGTCCTGGGCAGTCACTTTATTTCTACACAAGATTTATTTGCGGAGGGCTCATTCGTTGCATGACTTGTCCGGTCTATAAAGTCAAACATCTGCAGGCTGTTAAGTTAAACAGTACAGTGTAGGCCTCTTTTCTGCTGTGCATCTGAATTTGTAGAGAACTGACTTGTAAACCTAACATCTAAATGCAGTTGTGTGGGAAATGTATGTTATTAAAATAATATAAAATGGAGGGAAGCTCAATGAGATATTTGGCCAATCGCCAACAATGGTCTTTATTAAAATAGGTCAGAGCAAAAGGACGAACTGTGCATTGATTAGTTCCCCTTTTATTTATTTATCCTCCTGCATTTTGAAAAAGAAAAAAGAAAAAATCCTAAAATTAGACCACAAAGTGAATCCGTGATGTCAGCACTGACCATAATTCAGGATGTACGTCATGGCACGCATGTACATATATATAGCCTTCTGTTGCCAGGCAAGTATAGGGTGAAAATAAATGTATCACTCTACATTAATATTTTAATTGTCAAGGCACGCACATTTAAATATAGCCTCAACTCAATCCAAATTAAGAAAAACTATTATGAAGTGTGTATAACTACTTTCATTAAAAAAAAAAAAAAAAAAAAAGACCATAAAGCAGGTCGCACGGTCAGACACTTTATATGAAAAGCGGGCCTATAATGAAGATTAAGTAAAATACTATCTTAATTTGAAGTTGACCATTCATCAGTCAAAATAACCAAATATCTAGACAATAAGTGGAAAGCCCATTTAGTGTAACCAGTGTCTGATCACATCCCTGGATCAGGGTCCGCACTCTTACCCTTCCACACTGTGGGTCTGAGTGTGTGATGGCAATTAAAGACCTGTTTCATTATCTCTGATTAAAGCACCTTTCCTCGTGTTATTTCCTGTTGTTATACTATTCATTTTACACACCCCATTACAAGTCAGTTTCCCCCTGTTTTGGGAAATTGTGGTTGCAAAGAGACAAACCAAACGGGTGTGTTATTCTACAATTATACAGGTAATTAAAATAAGCACGACGTTTATAAAAGCAGGTAAATATGCAGAAAGTCACACCAGCGAAATATGTGAAGGCTCAATAACTGGTGTTAGACAAAATGTGGAGTTTCAGGCCGTACATCACTAACAACACGGCTGCTTTGTGTTTGGAAAATCACGCAAAATAGTTAGTTAATAGTTATTTCATGGGTTTAAGAATTTAACGATTTCCAAAAATAAATGATAAAGAATTACGCTGACTTGGTTAATATTTACACACACACACACACACACGAAAGCTATTTTGTAAGTGCGCCTTGCAACAGTGGCATTTTAAAATAATACATATTATATTAAAGCTTATAATCTTTTAAATTATAACAAACGATAATACCTAAGTGTATGAAATACATTTTAGATGTGAATATTACTCTATTTGAAAAAAAGCAAGTGTTTGGGAAAAGGTGATCCTGAAATGCGAACAAATCTAACTATTTTAACGGCGGAAGTAATGTAATATCATATCTATGTAACATAATTTTGCATAAATTTAACCTTTGCCAAATGTCCTTATTCCCGTTTATTTATAATTATAGTTGCGAAACCAAATGAGAATTGAGATTTATCCTTTAAAAGGCCTACAAGGCCAAATGGAGGAAGTCTGCTGCAACATGCGTTTCTCCACTGGACGGCAAAACCTTCCTGGGCCTTAGACTCATGTCAGAAAAACAATCCTTGTGACCGTGAAATATGCAATCAATAAACTAATAAATTGCGTCACAAGTTTATTTAATATATTTTCATCAAAAGCAAGGTCTGGTCCCTGCGGCTTAGTAAACAAGTGTATCCAGTTTCTTCTCTTCAGTTGTCGGATTTGGAATATTTAATTTATTTATCGTGGAAATTCACATAAAACCTGTGGTGTAAAATTATGTGAAAGACAGATATTTACCAACTAGTGTCATGCCAGTGGCCCGCATGACAACAATATTATTCTCCATTTTTATTGGGCAAGTGTGATTTGGGATTATCGTCGTCGGGTGCTCTGGTGCAATTGTGATGTCGTTTGCAGCCGACACCACTTAAAATGGAGGTTTTTAGCCATGTACCGGAACATCATAGCATTAGTTGTAGCATTGGGGGGGTTATTACAGTGAACGTCAGAATATATTATCATAGGTTTATGAGCACAAAGCAGTCATAATACACTATAAAGAGACTCAGTCGTCATAAAAGAGCCAACGCGTAATAAAGACCGTCAGGACTTAAGCGGAGCAGAAATATAAAATATTTTACAAAGAAAAAATATCTTGTCATTTATAAACGGAATGGATTTTGACATTACAAAAATAAGTCTGGTGTATAGTCTACAGTATAATGATCGTAATAATTTTAAATCCCTCGCAAATCTGTGTGTCACGGCTCAATCGGAACAGGCCGGACAGCCAGCAGCGCTGCAGCAAGGCCACGCAGGCCGTCCCGGGCATCACTTCTTCTCTGAGGACGGCGGTACTATTTAACACCATGTAAAGCAAAACACTTGCAGGATAACTAAATACAAGACTAATCGATGCTACTATGGACATCATTGGACAACACATAACAGACAAAAGCCAGTTTCAATTTTTATTTCTCAAAGTGTGCAGACATAATAGTGAAATGGAAAAACATTAAAACTATAAAAACAAGGTAGTGTCGGAGGTTAACTCAAAATCTGTGTGTAAACAATGTACCTGTGAGCATCTCTCAAGCACTGGCTGTTTGACAGCTCCAGGGTGGTCTGAAGTACACTCGGGGGTTGGTGGCACCGATTGTGAGTGGTCAGCTTTGCTTCAGCAGCACGATCAATACTGGAGGCTTCAGCTAAAGTCTTAACTCCAATATTTACGTGCTGCTACAGTAAGGCGACCAGAAAGTGAGAAAGGCAAATCTAACCAACTTTGTATCATCAGGAAAACTGTTGTCTATGTGGCATTACTTCAGACAGTGCGGACTCTATGCACGAGTAAAATGTCAGTCCTCGGTGAGAAAGGGACAACAGGTTGAAGAGCTGTAAGGTGACAGCCGGGTTGTATATTCAGGCTTTACTGCGGCAGCACAGTATGGCCTGCATCTCAGTGTAACTCACAAACCATTCCGTGCTGCTACAGCACTGCCAGAACTGCAGTAATGGTCCCTTTGCTTCAGACTCTTATCATCTTCTGTTATTTGCATTCCTTCATCCTCCAGGCCTCTAGTCCACTGCACATGTTCACAGATGAGTACAGACTTATTACCTATCGTTTATCTACCTAAAGACGTTCAGATGTTCAGCAGCAGGCTCCTGTCCACTCCTAAAGGAGGTTCACCACCTGAAACACAAACACAAACAAAGAGACAACATATTTTAGTGTAATTCTGAGGTCAACCTGTCAAAATTAGTTAGGCAACAAAGTCCATTATGTGGCCAAAAGTATGTGGACACCAGAATCTTACAGCAGTATAAGGTTGTTGAACATCTCATTATAAAACCATGGGGATTTACTACATTGCTGTAACTGGCTCTAGTGTTCTGGAAAACCCCCTTTTTTTGGTTAGACCTGGCTGCAGAGATTTGCACCAATTTAGCCACAATGTGAGGCTGAGCATTGATGTTGGTTACCATCCAAGATCACCTGGCTCAATGTTGGCTTCACTCCAAAGCTGTTGGTTTGGGTTGAGGTCAGTAAACTTCTTACAAACCAAACTCAGAAAAAAAATTTCTTTATGAATCTTGCTGAATGCACCAGGGCGTTGTCATGTTGAAACACAAAAAGGTCCTTCCCCAAATTGTTGCCACAACCCTGGAGGCACACTGTTTTCTAAAATATTACTGTATGCTGTAACATTAGGATTGCCCTTAATTGGAAGCAAGCGGCCTAGGGACAGGGTTGTCCAAATACTGACCATATAGTGAACTTCACATCTCAAATCCAAAGATTGGTGGAGACTACTTCCATAATAGAATTAGCATTTTAGTAGAAATAGATTCTTCTTATGATTAAAATAAGAAGGAAAAACAGAATTTGCCAGTTTGACATTGTTGACTTAAATGCTTTAGTAGCATAGCTAATGTTCCAAACAATTTTACAAGACTAATGTGGTTAAAAAAAAAAAAAAAAAAAAAAAAAAAATTCACACAGCACTGTGAAAACGTGGGGAGAGGGAGACAAATAGCAGTGTGTGCTTTGCATGGCACAGAATAAATATACATTTTTAGTCACCATAGCGCTCAAAATAATGTGGCATTGTCATATCTGGTAACATGGTATTATTGACAGATGCTCCATATACATCTGAGTGTAAAGAGTGTAGTAACAGAAACAACTGTACTTTCCCCCTTTAGGCTCCCTTCCTAGAAAAGTTTCACTGTGACAAAACAACCATCCGTTTTTAAAAAAAATGCACTTTAACCTTTTAATGAAGCAAAGAGTCAAGTTATTGGAGAGACAGCAAATCCCAAGTTGACTTAAGTGACAAGATATTGTGTCAGTTCAAGTGTCACTTAGCAAATCACTGAAACCCAACCAGCTTCAGAGGTGTTGTTCAATAGCTGACCTCCCATGTGGAGGAAAGCAATTCAAATACAGAATTATCCCACTGGAGCAAACAATAAAGCTCTTCCAGTTGTAGCAAGAATGTGCCAACTTTTCTTGCAAGATGTCTAAGTACTAATAAACATAAATAATATTTAAAAACTAAATCTCCTAGTTTGTAAGAGAAGGTGTTTTGACCAACTTCATCCCAATTATAATCATGTAGGAGACAGGGGCCAATGGATGTGTTGCCACTAGAGGTCTCAATGGACCTGTAACTATGACCTTGGTCTGGACCTGATAGCCTGAACCTAAAAACACCTCTAACATACTTCCCTTCCAAAAAGGCACTGACAAGAGGTGTCATCCTTCACTTGCTCTCTCACACCAGTGCAGCTAAGAGAAAGATGTCTGATGAAAAAAAAAAAAAAACACAATAACCAGGCAACAATAACCAATTTGTAGCTTTTGTTCTTCTGCCCAAGTTACATTGTTGTCATGTGGTAAAGAATCTGCAAACAGGGATACAAAATAAATTTTAAAAAAATCTAAAGATTTGAGGGTCACCTGTGCAAACACATTGCTTTCATCAGTTGTACTGTCAGGCAAGTAAACCCACAGGATAAACACTGGGAAATGATAACTGAATTTGTTTGCCTTTTATAATCTGACTTTTAAACTGTTTGTGTATCTCCCACAAGCACCAAAACACAGGACCCTGCTCCTAATTACTTTACCATGCAACAACAACATAACTGACCAAAAGAGCCACAAAGTGGTCATTGTGATAGACTGCACATCTCGAGCAAAAGACTGAAGGGTCAGAAGTCAATCTAAAAATCCTGTGGTATGCTTTAGAAAAATGGTAGGATGTTACATAAACTGTTTATTTGCTAAAATAAAAATTTCATCAAGTTATCATACTTGTTATGCTGCCTAAAATTTTCATTGACTTCCATTGCCATCATTACCCACATGTACCATTGCACAAAAGCATCATCTTTTAAAAGCCTCTGTGTTGCGTGCTCTTCCGTGTGGAAAAGGCGTCGTCATTAATAGGATTTGCTTTCTTATGTTAATACTATGCTCAAGCAATCATAATAAAACGTTTTTTGGGTTTTTTTTTTTTTTTTAGAAAATCTAAGATGCAGTATTTTATTACTAATGATATAGGATCTGACTCATCTTTCTATTTTAAAAAGGCATAATGTATGTAGTTCTGTGTGATGGACGTTAATGACTACAGCTGATATTTGCAAGGTATGCAAAGGTAGAAAACACAGGTGCCACAATGGTGTCCATAGTCAGACACACCTGACAGTGGCAAGAGGGTAGGCAGACAGTGAGAACCAGTGAATGCAGTGCTCAGGAGTATTTTTTAAAAATGGTGTGTCGCAGCCTGACCCTTTTAAAGCATGTATGACGACATTTATGCCTAAACATAACAAAGCTAACTTAAAATTAAAATTTACACTTCATCAAGAAAACTCTAATTTTACATTTAGTAGCAATTTTACATTTTCTATAAAAATACACAGCCCTTGTAAAAATGTGTTGCATTATTATTAAAAAAAAATAATGTTACTTGATAACAAAGGCTGTTAAATTCATGCAAGACACTTTAATTTGGAGTTGCTTTGCACAAGGTAACAAAAAGTTACCTAATTATAGACATTTGATACATCGGACACAAGTTTGCTGTGGTTAATTTACAACTTCACATCAGGGGTGTATAGCTGTCAGATCTGTGGGGCATGACAAAATCTCCTTGTATTAGTCCTGGGTTAATAGGGTCAGCATCCCCTGCCAAAAAGAGGACATCATATTGGAAGCAGGAACTAATATGCACGCAACATAAAATTAAACAACGATTTTGAAAAATCCATTTATAGTTTGTTACATAAAAAGTGCTACACATGAGGATTTTTTATAGCTTTGTAAATTAAATTACCTGTTTTATATGGTAAGACAAAGACTTAAATGGGTAGAAAGTTACAAGTGGAAATGGAGGTTTGTCATCATTTCAAACATTTGAAGAATTAATTAATAAATTAATAAAAAGAGAAAAGGATCAATTGATTAATCAATAATAAAAATAACTGTTTGTTGAGACCTTAATTGTAAGCTACAATTACAAATTAGGCAGTTGAGTTTCTTGTTGATAACAGCTGATAACCCCCTCCCCCTTCTGACACTTTACATGCATGCTATGTAGCAGACTGTGTATATACACAATGCAAAGTGGGAAAACATTGGAAACACTCTGTACACTAACTTAGACTCACACACGGAAAATTTGCCCAGTCATTTCCTTATCTTATGCCATGTAGAGGCAGAGACAGTATGGAATGACAGTAATTACACTGAAGTACTGAAGTCATGAAACAACTATTTTACCTCGTCCATCCTTAAATTAATTATTTAACAAAATTCACAAAGGCACTAACCAGGTAAGCTGTATATTTTCCTTTTAAGCTGATAATTTCTTTACAAGTCCAGGTGGAATTGTTCACATCAATGACTCTAACCTCTCCCCATTTTTCTCCCTCTCCTTGAAGGAAGCATGCCCAGACATGTCACCTTCACTGCTCAGCCTTTTTAACCCATTCCTATGACATTTGCTCCCCATACAATAGCCTCAAAGAGTCACCTGACCCCGAGGTTGAAGGTCAAGTAACCTCCTACACCCCATCGGGTACAGGGACGTGGACATGACAACTCATCACCTCCCTAGAAGTGGTCTGGGATGGCCTTTTCTGGTCTGGGTTACATCGTCCTCAGCCTGTATAAGCACAAACTAAAGGGAGATTTACAATGACAATAACATTTATCCACACAAAAAGATCTATGCAAATTAAAGTTTCTCGCTGTGTTCATAAAGCTTCCCATCTGCAGCCATTGGGACATGGAAGGAAACTCCTCAAGTTTAAATATCTACAGACACAACAGCCTAGTTTGAATGTTTTAAATCTATTTAAAAACATTACTGGTTAATACTAGTTTCAGAATACATTTAGCCATCAATCCAGAATACAATGTATGTAGGAGTAGGCGCAAGGTTTCTATTCACTTTGGCATGCAAGCAACACATATCCCTACACACTCACAAATCCATCAGTTGAAAAATTTAAGCCAGATAAACACCAGGTAACAGGCTAGCCAAATCTTGGCTATTTTGCTGTTGGCAAGACAAAATAGACAGTATAAATATACTATGTTACTATAGGTGTGATAAAATGGTTCATCAGCTACTGGGGCAGCATGTACACAGCATGAGATCTGTACAGTAGTAAAATGGCAACAAATACAAAATCAATTCATCCACAATAACAGAGCAACCAATTATGATGACACATCAACAACAGAAAAAATATAGTATCACCTTTAACCAAAAATACATTCAGAGGGTGTCTAAGTCTAAAAGTAACCCAGGAGGTGGTGAATAGTTTTATTGTTCATTGCAGACCAGGGATGCTACCTATAAAGACCGGCTCTGTTCCATACAAACACCAGCACTGTAATGTATGTGTTAATCCTAGAAAAACCTGTTACATTTGCTCACCCAGCAAAACATGTCCAGCATAGCACAAGCAGAGTGACTGGGATTCCCTGGGAGCTACAGCCATGTCTTGTCAAATGAATTACAGAAAACTCCAGAAACATGTGGAAACACATACCTGGGATCGACAAGAGAATAGACCTATTTCACAGGACAAAACTAGCAGATATGTGAAAGTGACCTGAGTCATTCTTGTACTACTCCACAGGTATACAACCACTCCTTCGATTTACTGACAGGTGTGAGTGTGACAGACAGTGTGTACCACTTCACACTTCAGGTACACAGTGTCTACACTAATTAATACAATTATTGGAAGCACTGGATTGGAAATTAAGTTTGATTTTAATAAATAATACCTAAAAAGTATGACATAACCAGTTTCTAAAATTGGTTTGGTGAAAGTACAACAATAATCTAACATGTAAAGTAATGTGTAATATGACTTATTGTACTGTTTGGGATTAGTGAGAGCCCATCTCACAACAAGACAGTGCGTGTCTTCAAGGCTTAACAATAAAGACATTTTTAGCCACATTATATGGTTCCCCTATAACCAACAGCAGTGTCTGTCATCTAGACACACCAGTGTCGACAATGTGACTGGTAAGATATTTAATCTGAATACACAATTGCTGTACCTGCCACTGCTGTATAAACAATGCATTTCAACTCGGTATTACGCTTTACTCAATAAAGTCATTTCTGATCTCTTCACTTATTTACTACCTCATTTGAACTATGTCAAGCTTCCACCTACTGCCCAGAAAAAGCCAGAGCAGCAATAAACAGGATGCAGACAAAGCTGTACACTGTGATGCAATTTCAAAAGTACGACTTGAGGACTTAATTTACACTTGACCAATAGTATTTAACTATTTATAAAAAAGCATGACTACAACCGCCAAAGTTTTGTTTTGATAACTACCACAACATTTAACATGACTACCACAACTCTTAATTACAGTGGAATCACTACTTACAGAACCAACAGTGAGAATGAAACGAGTATCCTAGGAAGTGTGTATGTTCTATGTACATGCACACATAAGCAAGAGGAGCAAAAGAGGAAGCAAAGCTAAAGTGTGAGAGTTGAATGGCACACCCATACAACAATTACACAAACACACAGACTATACTTACTGCTATACTCAAATGCCCAGGTTGAATTCAGATTCACATTACTCTGGTTCAGTGTAAAAAATGTGTTAAACACACATCACAACCAATTTTTTTCCTACAAAAAATTTAGAGGCTTTCCAAGGACTTTAAGTTTTGTTGTTACACTGTTCACCGAGTTCACATGCCACAAAATTAAAAATTAAAAAATAAATCAAAGTGTTTTATAGCTCTTATGCATGTTAGGGCTCAAATCTAAATTAATTATATGTCATTACAGGCAATAATAATCTTTGATGATTTCCCCACATTCCTTGCTAGGTCTGACCTACCTACTTACAACTGTATAGGCAGTTACAATCACACACCAGCAGATCAACATTAGTTACAGCAGTAAGTCCAAAGTTATACATGCTGATATTCCTGCTGAAAATATACCAAATTAGTTATTTGAAGCAAACTTTTAAAAATGGACCAAACACAACGTTTGGTTGAGCACAATGTGTGAAAATATCTGATACTCTGCAACCAAGCACACTGCCTTACTGGAGGGAAGTGGGTGAAGAGTTACCTGCTTACCAAATTAGGGCTACTAACACAGAATACACAAATCAGCCACCAATATTTTAGCATGATTATAAATCTTTCCAATCTAACTGCTTACAATACTGAGGGCTAATCTAGCACCCTCAGGTGAAAAAAAGGCTTGTGCAGCAGAAATGAAAACACAATGTGTGTAGTCAGAGGAGGCATACTCTTGCTATGTCAGATCTTATTGCCGGTGCTGTTGCAGGTTATCATATTACTACCTTAAATTTAATTATCAAGCAGAGAATTCACCAGCACTGTAACAGCTGACATATTCTTTCTAAACATGAGTACTTCTGTCACTACACAAAACAACATTAAAAAAGGGAGTCTGCAGCTACATGGGGGCTCAAAAGATCTGACTTTTAGAAACCAACCTTTTGGAAATTTACTTTTTTTAAAGTTACTTTTTTAAAGGCTGCTAATTTGAAACCTAAATACATCCATGTTTAAAACAGAAGATCTAACTCCAGCAGGCCACAAAATTCCACTAAACTTTTTCAACTTACCAGATTGGCTGAAATTGTGGTGAAGTATACACAAACCATAAAAGCAGTTAAGCTCATAACTGACAATTATTTTAAAAATGTTAATGCCAACGGTTTTTGTAAAACATTTTCACACTTTTAGTGAAACAGGTGCAAATCCCTTTGCACTACTGTGTTGCAGCACCTACTGTATGCAAAAATCAAAGCTAATGCAAAACATATGCTCATAAGAAGCATGCAAGGATCTGGCACCCTCATATGCTGCCAGTGTTATCAGCCTTAACTTCATGTATAAATACATCATGCAAAATACATAGACACTCATTTTTGCAAAAGAGCACATCTGAACTTAAAGTTTACCTATACTGTTCACTATTTAAATTATTCCAGATTTAAATTATGTTTGCAAGAGAAATGACTGATGCACATAAAATAATCTGACAGCTTCTATTTAATGCTGCTGAGGCACAGAACTGAAACCAAGGCCAGCTTCTGGAAAATAACCAACAAGATCCGTGAAAACCTGTTCCCATCACTGCAAATTTGAATACTATAAAGTTTGTGCTGAGTGGTGCAGAAAGAAGGAAGAGAAGGGTGGGGGTCCTCTGCAGCCTGGCTACAACACATGTAAGCAAGTACAAGAAGAGAGGCACAGTTTCACCAGGAAATGGGGCTGGGAGCCCATTTTGCCAGAGGGGTCTGAGAAGACAGAATGATGAGTCACAGAATGTCATGCTAACAGTCGGAAACAGCACAACGGTGCTCTACAGAGTGAAAAGGCAAATACCACAGAACGGAGGGGAGACATAGACTTGAAGCATTTTAAGTAGATTAACTGTAGGCTCAACAGGAATAGAAACTGTTAAAATACAACAGTACTTATTTGACAACTGCATACATTGTCAGTGTCAACCTCATCAGAAGAATATGAGCAAAATATTAACACCCATTTCACCTGTGTGAGTACATTAGATACACACTGTAAAACTAAGTAGCCAGTGAGTAAGTTTATATATTACTAAGATTCTTGATAATAAAATTTCTCTTTGACAAAGTGCTACCTCCTCCTTTCTAAAGATTAGACCTTACACATTCAAATCTGTAATTTTTATGAAACAAAGATATCAACAAGTACACACATTGCAGCTGATATTGTAAAACTGATAACGAAAGATTGCAACAACTAAACAACTAAATTGGATGAAATTGGATTTTAATAATCACTAATGCTGCCTCAACTGAAATGTTAAGCACCATCTCCAACATGTGTATTTTAGCCTTTTACATCTTAACAAAATGCACTAACACTGTCATAACATTTTCAATTAGATTTCTTTTATATTTACACTTTAACAGCCAAGCACTCTAATATATTTTTGTATCCATTTACAGTACTAAAGATAGGATGTCAAAATTCTCTATCACACAAGGATAGACCAACTTTTAGCACAAAATAAGCAGGCAGGTGTACTTAGTTTGTCAGTATTTTTGAGTATAAATACACACATATCCAAAATGTTGTGAATCCACCCTGTGAAAACAATTAGATATTGAACACTGAATAATTACATTTTCCATGCACTACTTTTACACTCAGTCTCTCTGGTGTATCGGGTGGTATGAAAAATAATACTTCAAAACACTTCCCAACTTGATGTAGTGACCTAAATTGTTTTTTTCCCCTTACACTGTAGATCAATTTATCAACTAGCAGCTTTTTAAAAAAAAAATATCTAAATAATCAATAAATAGGTGGGGATTTTTTTTTTTTTTAAATTTACAACATGTGCCTGTGTAATATAGGAGCATTACAATTAACACAGCTACACAAATAAGAGTAAAATGTAAACTTGGGTTAATAGAAGTTACCTATCCAATTTAAACACACCAGGTGGTGTACAATAAATATCAATAAATGTATTTATTCCCCAAGCAGATAATCACACGCCTGTCTCACTTTTTAATTTATCATACTATTTATTGTGTTTCGTACACCCACAAATTTAAGTTTTCTGTCAGTCAGAAGCATCAGATCTTATAGTACAGTCATTTCCTCCTCCTCGGTCTGCTATGTGGTTGTGACAGGTCTTTCCCTCGTATCATGTTGCCTAATTTCAACTAAAATGCCCTCAAAAATAAACTGAGAAAATGTTACTATGAGGTGGGTGGTTTCAGTATGAAAATGCTGCCCCATTCCTAACAATCTGCCATTTCAGTGAAGAAAACTATGCCTCAGACAATGGTATTTAGTTACATTTTTACCCAGGTCATGCATATCTAATCTAAGAGAAAGCACAACTCTTAACCTTACTGCAGCAGAATGTGTATGACAAAATAAAAATCCTGCAAAAATGCTATTAGTACAACACAATGTCATTTATCACTGATCAGGAGGGGGAGGGGGGGGGCATTACAAGGTTTTTTTTTTTTTTTTTTTTTTAGAAATTTAAAACATGATACTTGATAATGTGGACACCCATTTGTTTAAATAAATGCAACCCTGTAGAAGATGGGAAGGTCTCACATTATGTAACACATTAAACCGATCTCTACTTAGAAGGAAGTAGAAGGGGCGGGTTTAGATGCACAATTATATGGAGTCTCTCTTTCCCCTTTCTCATGCTTTATTAGTCAAGTAGTCATGTTCATTATGAGAAGCATAAGGCAGCATAAAATACCACACATACAACCTCTCCAGTAATTAAGGACTAGGTCCGTTTTGTCACTCTTTACTAAACCGATTAGACCAAGCAGTTTTTTTTCCCCCTTCAATGTACTTGAATTTAATAAGGGTCCAGGGCACAGAGAAAGCAAGGCTAGTAAGGGCAAAAAAAAGAGGCAAAAATGAGACAGAAAGCAATGTCTGAAAATCCTGTATCGAACTACGATGAACCAAAAAAACCCTTAAAAATTACAGCGAGCAGCACAGAAACTACCAATACAATTGTTATTTGTAATAACTAACGCTAATTCAACTTTATTGCACAGTTAGTGGTCATGACAGCCATCCGTCTACCGTTTAACACAGCTATTAAAGTTGAACCATCACAAGTTGCGACCTAAGGTTGTTGTCACTTGGCTGAGAGATAAACTGATCACCTAGCGTTAATTTAAAAAGACATTTAAAACCATTAACAGGTACAATTATGAAGCGACTAAGTCAATTACTCGGTACTGGTCACCGGAGTTACGTTAATACAAGAGCAGCTCCGGTAACGTTGAGACTGCAAATGAACGTTAACAGCCAGGAAAATAAAACAAACTCCGTCATTATTATTATTATTACTATTATTATTAAGGGCATCACTGAGTGTAAGGTCAAACAGCGACATAATGACTTACCAGGTGTTTTCCCTCTAACGATCCCACCCCAAAAAATAAAATAAAAATAAAAAAAACTGCTTGCAATAACACGTATGTAATTTACCAGCTCGGAACAAAAAAAAAAAAGAAAAAAAAAAGAAAGAAAGAAAGAAAAAGTCTGCCTTCGTTAACAAGCTTGGTAAAATTAAGTTAACACAAAAGACAGTGTGTCTGTCCCGGTCTGTCGTATTGATTTTTCCCTCCGAACTGAAGCCAGTGTAACATTAGGTGCCGTGTGCATTTGTTGACACTACCGACTGTGCTTCTCCTCTGCTCGAGCCTGCTGCTTTGCACCTCCCGCTCAAAACGGTGCTCCAATGCCAAAAAAATAGTCCATTATAGTTCAACTTTGATTTATAACCGCTGAGTTAAGTCTCTCCTTCATACAAAATATTTTTCCATCTATTCCCCTTTTTTTTTCTCTCTCTCCCCCCACCCCCCACCCCCCTACATTATATCCCTCTCCTCTCCTCTCCTGGATAAAACGAACCGCTGTGTGAGCGCATTTTTTTTTCTACCGTTACAGCGCAGCGAACTCAGAAATCCCTCTATGTGTGTGCTAGCACGCTAAGCTAGCAGGCTAGCTGCTATGAGTAGTAGAAGCTGGCAAAGCTGGCCAAATGGCTAACGTCTCCCCGCCATGGTCTCTGCTCTTTTCCACGTATTCCTCTCCTCAAGTCCGCGTATATTGTCCGATTAAAATCAATTTAAATACTTTGTGGCTTCAATTACCTGTGTTTCCACTGGAAGTACGCGATGCCGCTCTCTAAAAGCGCAGTTTAATTTTCAGCGCTTGATTTTTCCCCCCGTCTCAGCGACAGCTTTCTACATTCGCAGCATCCTCTCTCCGCAGCTGCTGAAGCAATCGCTGTATACTCGAAAATGGCGCCTAAAGATTCACTTCTCATTCAAATTCGATAGAGCCTCCCATTCTCCCTATTGGCTGACTGCGGAGTGGACTCCGCGCAGCTGATTGGACGCTGAAAATGCACTCGAATGATCTTGCAGCCCACGCAGCGTTCAAGAGAGAGGGAAGTTTTTAACTCTTTAGGTCCCTCAACGACTTTTACAGCAATCAGCAAAGCTAGAAAAAAAAAAAAAAAAAAACCCTGTACGTTCAAACTTGTTCAAACCAGGACTTTTTATATGAAATGAACGGTCCTCAGTAACGACTGTGCAGCATTAATAACACCAAAATGTGACATAATATGCCACAAAAACTCTACACAACAGGAGACTGGGAGAAGGAAAAGTGCAATAAAGTCCACACTCACATTAATAGACACACTATGGTCATATACAGAAATAAAGATTGTATACATTTTATAAATAGTATAGTTGCATCAGATTCCTTGACTTCATTTTATACCAAACATTGTGTTTTGTATCACAGATGAAAGCTCTCTACAACCTGTACCTGTAAGCATGATAAAGGTCCACGGTACCACCTGAACTGAGCCAACTTCAGAAGATCAGTCCTTAGTGATCCACAGAAAAACTGCATTTGGTCTTGTGGTTAAAATACACAGTTCTTCTTCTGTCTGCTACTGCACTTTAACACTGATTATTCCTAATCAGGAACATCCTATCAGTTGCGAAAAGTAACTAAGTACTCTACTTATGTGTAATATTGAGGTACTTCAGGTACTTAATACTTGAGTATTTTCATTTTCTCCTACTTTATACTTCTACTCCAAAACATTTCAGAGGCATGTATGGTACTTTTTACACCACAGCATTTATCTGATGGCTTTCAGATTAACAATTTACATTAAAAAAGCCTATTATAACCTTATAAAATACAGTGATAAACACAAAACCATGTTTTTGGCTTGTGACCTCTTGCAGAAGAAGAAGCAGTGTCTATTTGGGGCCCCTTTCAGATGTGTATGAGTCATTTGCAGGTCCACCAAAGAGACATTTCCCCTCAAAACATCTCATATGGTTTCATTTGAAAAACTCCTTGAGGTTCAAAGAGGTCAAATGATCCATTTAAATCATCCCCTTGTTTTTTCTTCTTTCCTTTACCATTAATCATCTCATGCCCATTGCCCAATCAGATTTATCATGCAACTGTACGGAGGGGCCTGCCCCCAGGTTGGGAACCCCTGGACTAAAAACTACAGAACAGTACATGAAGTAGTTCAAACACGCTCCATCTCGACCACAACAGTGAAAATCTACTTACACACTGAGCATCAGTATTAACAATCTAATATTGGAAAATAAAAAATATACCGGGGCCAGTTTTCTGTAAGACCAGTACTTTTACTTTTGATGCTTTAGGTACATTTTTCTGATCATACTTCTGTATTTTTACTTAAGTATAGGGCTATCGGCCCTCCGATATTATCGGACAATATTCACTAAAAAATGTAATATCGGGAGCATTACCGAGCCTGCATGAACGCAGCATGGGACGCTTACCGGCGCGCGCTAGATGACGTATAACAACAACAACTACACGCTAGACTGGTTGGTTGCTAACCGTGGCTAACAAGCAAACAATTTAAAGCTGAATGATTTTAATATTAACACAAAATAAGTGCAATGCACCTTAAATATTTTACCCTACTATGAGCTGTTCCTTAACCAAACTAACAATTGGCTTAGAATTTACATTAGCACTCCTTCAGGTGGATAATACAATTAAACACATTAACCAAAGCTAGCGATTAGCTAGTGATTAGCGTTAGCGCTCTTTTCAGTATTAATACAATGAAAGTTGAAGTTGTTCTCTTATTTCGCACAGACAGTGTTTACATTTGGAAAGCCAAGTTGCATTTATGTATGCATCCAGTAGGGCATCACAATAAAATTAGGCATAATGTGTTCATTCCACAATAGGAGATATGTTATGTTGTAACAGTTCTGGTGTAAAAAGCCTGCATATATCGGTATCGGGGGAAATCGGTATCGGAAATTGAGAGTTGGACAATATCGGAATATCGGATATCGGCAGAAAAGCCAATATCGAGCATCCCTACTTAAGTATGATTTTGAATCTAGGGCCTCTACTTGTAATGGAGTATTCTGACATTGTTGCATCCTATATGAAAATATCACTAAAGACCTTTTACATGCCTTTTGTCAGAGCGCTTAATCACCTCTTAGTTACACCTTTTGATCTGTGGACATAAACACACTATTTCCAGTTTTCCTACAAACATAATAATCCTTGTTACAGCATATCCTATATATAAGGAGACTATTTCACATATTGGAACATGTAAAAGCATTGTTTTATGGGCTTATGAAGAATGCTGAATAAGCTGCAATATTTTTATTATCATCCTTCATATGAGCGGCATCAACGTCTATGCACAATGCGTTCCTTATTTAGAGAACGGGTATTTATCCGCAGTTAGCACAATAGCGCTTGTCTTGGAGTGACAGCCCTATCAAAAACAATCAAAAGATTATAAAACACATTATTGCTGCCATAAATGACAGGAGCATAACATCTGGTATATGCCTATTATTAGGTCAAGAAGTAAAGGAATCTATGAGATTACTCCGAAGGCCAAGGAGATGCAAACCAAATCATGAAGGATGTCAGGGAACAAAAAGCAATAAAAGCCTTTGAGTCAGTGAGGTAAAGGGGCTGCTAAAATATAGAGGCTCACTCAGCAGTTATGCTCTCCTTCCACGCTCTTCTCCATCATAATGTGGGGTTGAGTTAAAGACACTTTTTTCCCACAGTTCGAAGGAGGACATTGCTTTCTTATCTTAAATTGCTGTGACATAATTGCCCTCTCTAATTTTAATGAAGTTTCTTTTTCAGTTTCCCTCTTTTTTAAACTTTTGACTGATTTGTTTTCAACACCTTTCAGAGAGTCTCAAATATCTAGTTTAAAGGAAACAAATTCCATAAGTAAATTATATGGCATAACCACTTCTTGTCAATTTAAGATTAGCTTGGCAACACCACATGAGCACACACAGTGTAGTGTACATGCAACGGCCAAAGCGGGGACGGGTTGGGCTCTGCCACAATAACCCTGCTGTTATCGTGCATAGTGTACCTCGGGCAAGATAAACAGAGACAGCCATTTCATCCCAATGCACACATAATAACAATACATAACATTCACCTGCTATGTCAGTAGTTGGCTCCACCAGGGTGCATTGAAAAAAGAATTAGCTGCAACCTGCTATTAGTTTTAGTGTATGCTTAAGTGAATAGAGACCAGTTTAAACTGAGTTAACAGGCCTATTTCCACTCCTTTAAAAATGTTTACAGTATCAAAGATGTCATTTAAATGTTTTCATTCATGGTAAAAGCATTTTAAAACTTACATTTCTTGCATTGTTGTGTGTGGTATAGTAAAAACATAATGTTTTTTTACTTTGGAGTACAAAAGCAGACTGGGAGAGAGAGGGCGCCCATTGTGTATGCATTCTGGTGTAGTGTGGACAATGGGGCGGAGAGGAAAAAAACACACTTGTTTACAGATAAACTGGTTTGGACAGGAAGCCAGTAAGGAGGAGCTCTGTGTTGTTAAACAGGCATGTGGAGAGGCAGGGATGAGCCAGCAAAAACACCACCGTGACCATAGGGAAGATCATGATGCAGTACTCAAAGACATCGTGCGTACACACACACACACACACACACACACGCATTCATATCTACAAATGCACACATGCCGTATCTACAGCTTTGCAGAATAATATGCTGGTAAAAAAAAACCTCTATTTTTGTCAAGAGTTTACACAGTAACCACTATAGCCCAAGCCCATCAATGACAATAACAGAAGTTGTGGCTTGCTTAGTTTCACTATGACAAAAATATTAACAAGATAAAAAGATGCTTGTGGGTCCCTATTAGCAGTGCCAAACAGTAGCCAAGCTGAGCTCTGGTGAATACTATACAGTTCATCCTGCATTGTGTCACCGTCACATGAGCACACACTGCCTTCCATTAGGCAGGAGATTCTTATGACTCACAAAAACACAAGTCACATGTCACTACACAAATGAACCATGCTACTCAGACTGCTCTGTTATCCATAGCAGCTTTTCTGCAGGACCCAAATGAAATCACATCATAATGCATCTCTTCATTAGGAGGGTTGAGACAGAGTGGAGCTCTCCCTTGTCTTCTGGTAGACGAGCTGAACAAGAGCCACAGTGTCATGTATCGCGGTGTTTGGCCACAGCGGGCTAACCCGGCTGCAAAGTTGCCATGCTGGGGCAGTTTTAGTTCGATGTAATTTGATTTCATGTTAGATGTCTTGCGTGCATGGTTGGCTGTTACACTCAGCTGCTTCTCATTCAAGGAGGCGTTTTACGGATTTCCCCCCCCCCTCTCTCTCTTCTCTTTCCTCATGTGACTCAAAAGATGGCCTTTCACACCACCACCAGACACGGGACTGCATCCCATCAAATGACTGGGAAATGAGACACAAGCGAAAATCTCCACTTACAACGCGCTTCAAGACTTCCAAAGCAAAGCGTTCTATTTTACTAAAGTGAAGAAAAATATCAACCAAAGACTGAATGACACCTTGAAAACACTCCAAAAGGTTGATTAAGGTCAGAGGTGAAATTAAACCAGGGATAAGCACCCATGTACCACAGAAGACTAACACTTTGCAGCCAGTGGGTGATTTCACCTCACTCTTGTTGAAAATGTGCCATACATGGAAATCATATTTTGCCATGGGAGCATTAAGTGTGGCACATTGCTGCCTATCCCTGCATTAAATTAGGCATTACAAATGAACAGTGTGAAGATCAACTTTTCTCTCCGTAGAGGGGAAGACTGGAGATTGGAGACCACACAAAGTAAAACTGGAGACTAAATTATTCCCTTTTTCATTCAAAACTAACCATCTCATTTTTCTTAAATTCTCCATAGTTAATGTCAACCTGTGTCTTATATTTTGGGATATTTGGCAGTGTATACCAGAAAGTTACACATGCATAAAACAGCCCAGCAGTCAAAATGAGCAACACAGTGAAACTAAATATAAGAGACTATAGGCTTACTATATTAACGTGGCCTATTCCCTCGTCTTGGTCTTTAGAAAACACAATGAGCCCCACTGAGAACTCCATACTAGAGAGAGTCTCTCCATTGATGTCTCCTCAGTACCCCTCCCCCGTCTCTCTATGAGACATCTGTAGCAGCTGCCCCCTTGTGCTCCTGTCAGCAGGGCAGAGTGCGTGTGTTTGCGTGTGTGTATGCACTAGTTGAGGTGGGGTTGGCTGGGAGGTTAGTGTGGGGCGTGTTACGACACCTCCCCCTTTGGAGGGGTCTGGCCTGCACACTTGTGGGACATCACATTTATCAATGGCTAATAGTCACTAGCAGGTCACCCTGAAAACACAACAGAGACCTCTGACCTCTTTTTAGCACAAAAGCTGCAAGGTGGTCACATCAAGCCCCTGGATGCTATAAAAAGTGCACGCACTTGCACTCACACACAACTTTCTTCAAGAAAATCTTTTCAGAAATCTTGATAAAATATTATTTTTTATTATGCTTTCTAATAAACTTTGCCCTAACCTCATCCCATGATAAATAAAATGTTTACCTTGAAGTAAAAACATAAAATGGACTCTCCCAGTCAGGGTCCTGCTAAACACTTATCACATGCTTGGCCAGTAAGTTCAGATATTACAGCACAAAAAGCCACTTTTATTTAGTCTCTGCACAATCATACAGACATTCTCACACATGGCCATTAATTTAAAGGTCCAGTGTGTAGCATTTAGGGGGATCTATTGGAAGAGGAAATGGAATATAATTGCAATGGGTACATTTTCATTAGTGTATAATCACCTGAATATAGGAATTGGTTTTGTTACCTTAGAAGGAGCCTTTTAAATCTACATACCCTGTGGGTCACCTTCTACGCAGTCCGCCATGTTTCAACAGTAGCTCACAATGGACAAACACTGGGTCTTGGGGCTTTGGCTTTTTTTTGTGTGTTTCACAGTCACCTAGTCTCTTCTTCGCACTTGGAAGGGGAGGATGAAGAGAGGGAATCACGATCTGCAGCTACACTGCTGGATGCCACCAAAACCCACACAGTGGGCCTTTAAGTGAGTATAATTCAGAGTACGGTAGTTTAAAATTACATTACAAACAGGGGACAAAAAAGGGGTAAAACTTGGTTACGGAAATTGAAAGGGAAGCTGAGGATGTTCCACTAAGAAATTATTTAGTTCTAGACTTTTTGTATGTTAAAAAGCTAAATTTCACTGTATAGAGACTGCAAAAGCTGTGAAGTCTGCCAACACAGAACTGTCACCAACAAGCTTCTCAAGGGCAGCTTGAATTGTGTTTTTGAACTCTGGTATACAGTTAACACCATCTATGAGGCTTTCTATTTTTATATAAATACTGTTTTCCAGACTAAATGTGGTGTCGTTCTAAAAAAAAAACATAGGATCCCGTGCACAATGCAATAAAATTTGACCAGTAACTTCAGAGTCATGTATAACTGCATCGAGAGTCAAACATCCATTGCCCTGGTTGGACTGTTTCAACCTGATGAGAGGCGTTTTCCATTTTAAAAAAATGTTATCGTTATTTTTGGGACAGGTTTAAATCACCCAACAAAACATTGTTCATGTTGCTTCCTGGTATAGTAGTATTTTTTTTTTATCTTGACGATTGTCCACACCCCTCAGTATTTTTTTTTTTTCTTTATTGAGGCAG